TGCAAAAATACTACACAGCATTGCATTATAATAAATTAAAATTATAATAAATTAAGATTTATTCAAAGAAAAGTATAGATGGATAACAATAAATTTCAATTTCCAAATAAATAAACTCAGACATGGCGAACGTGAATTCTAAAGTGACATGGTGAGATGAAAAAATATGATTGGAATAGCGATGATCTCCGATTTCTCAGAGTAATCCCTGAATACCATCTCTCAGATTGACAGCCTCTTCCACTTCGCTCCCACGGTGATCCCACGTCGATCCCACGGCGATTTGTAGTACCTTCGGAAGTCTCAATGCGAAAAACCGAAGGAGGATATAAAGAGAAAAGAAAATGCAGCAGCCAACAACGTAAGAGCAGTAATATTAAGTAAAAAAAAAATTTATAAATACCTCCAAAAAAAATTATGACACCCAAATTCCCATACCTTTTAACAAAAATCTCTACTCTGCTTATAAACGTGACTTATGAATATTCCACCTCAATTATAATTCATTACCCAATCATCGGTTCACGCTTCTCTAAGTCTCGTAACATCAAAAACGGTACGAAACGAGCCCAGCTACCGAACCGTTTGAATATTATTATCGTTCTAACGGTTTCCCCAGGTGCTTTTGAGATCGAGCAAGCCGCGGAATCGCTCGCACGTGCGAGCACGAGGAATCGTAGTCAGCCGTAGTCTGACTAATGTAATCTAAGGAAGTTAAACCACCCAGGTATATATATATATATATATATGTGCATGAGTTTTATCCAGAATCCACATCACAGTCCTAAAGGATCCAAATGGGCACTGCGAGAGTAATCTAAGGAAGTTAAACCACCCAGGTCGAGCAAGCCGCGGAATCGCTCGCACGTGCGAGCACGAGGAATCGTAGTCAGCCGTAGTCTGACTAATGTAATCTAAGGAAGTTAAACCACCCAGGTATATATATATATATATATATGTGCATGAGTTTTATCCAGAATCCACATCACAGTCCTAAAGGATCCAAATGGGCACTGCGAGAATCTCCAACGCTAAACAGCACTAAATGGAAGGCACTTTGTATACGTAGGCGTGGAATATGGTCACGCGGCCTCGGTCAGGACGCAAGAGGAGGACATACTGTATGGTTGGCTACACTGCACCCTGGACATACGAGGAGCTGCTTTTAGAGCAGATCGTTGTATTTTTTGGTACCCATCGAGGGGATAAAAGAAGGAGACTGAAAAGATGTAGAAAGAGAGAAGGACGTGTAGAGAAGGGATGTATGCGTCCTGTGTTGTCAAACAGGTTTCGAGGTACTTGGCTGCATGCATAAATAAATAATAACCAGCGCGCCCGATGGAGATGTGAAGATATCAGCTTATCTTAATGTCAATGCTCCTAAGCCTGCTCTGGTTACATTCATTAAGGTCATTAACATCCGATAGGCGTGGGAGCGAATACACAGCCCTTCGTGATTCGTCCTGATGAAAGTACCCCAAGCCCTAAACTGTCATAACTGTACTGATAAATAATTACAAAAAAAGCCAATGTCATTGAAAAAAAATTTTACATGAAAATCTTCAATAGTCATTAACACTAATCCTTGAACTGAATTGAACTCTACCGGGTCGCACATGAGTCCGAAAAACATAAACGGTGTCCTTCCAATTAGGTACTCGTCCTTAATTATGAAAAAAAATTCTCGGTCCTAATGGCTACATTAAAGCCGACGATAACTCCAGGACAAAATTATACAACGACACATAAATAACGTAGCCATAAAAGCAATAATAAAATCGTAAAACGGTTCCTGATCTGAAGTTCAAGAGAAGAGACCGCCGTGTCCCCAGAAAACGTATCTTAAGTATGTATATATCGGCAAGTATGTCCTCAATCCTATTTAGGCCTGGTTCACTTGGAGCATTTAAATACGCGTCCACAAGCCAGAAATCCACGAGCGGCGTAAACCAGTCGTTAATGTCAGTCGATCGAGCACGGTCCGACCTCTACGCTCCAATTCGCCTTTAATTGGGCGACATTTTCCTGTGTTTTTACGTGGCGTATCTCGACGAGTACCTTACGCGACGACGACGCCACCGACGGCATAAATAACAACGATTATCGGGTAGCCCGATGCCGATTCGTATATAAATACCATGTGTATATATAACGTACGTCGCTAATTATGGACATCTGGTAAATTTACCTTATTTTTCCGCGCTTACGCGCTAACTGGTTTAGATGTACCTGAAAGCGTTCACTGCCGCTGATAAAGAAATTCCACATGCCTTACAGGCTCTGTCGCCCCGTAAACAGGGTTCTTAAAACGATCACATCTGCGCCACTCGGTACGAACGTGCTTCTATCACTTCCCAACGATACTCACTAGATACGTATGCCCAGTCCACGTTTTAACATAATATTTTAATTATTCCACTTTCTCTAGTCACAATCCCCTCTTTTCTCTTTATTGCCTTAGTTTTCTTGTCTTCTCATTATTTCCTACATTTCTTTTATAATTTTCATAAATTACATAAATCCTCTTAAAATGCATAGGTAAGTCCCTCATATCAATTTATCACTTAGTATTCCAATATTCGTTTCATCAACCATGAGCTAACGAATCTCTCGTACATTGTAACCAATTTTTCTTTCCATTAAATATCCTCATTCCGGCGATGTGAATCCGTCTTAAGCATTCTCCGCGAACAACTTGCCGCCTTGGCGAGCACGTGATTCGGCCGAACGGTAGCAGCTCGTCTCAGACACAACAAACTCGGCAGAGCTATTCATTCAAATTGCCAGTCCCGGCGAGTGAGGTAAGAGAGGAAGAACAAAAATAAAATAAAAATTAAGGTCCTGGCTGTAGACAGAAAGACTAGATAGTACGCGGCGTCTACGTTGGCGCTGCGTTCGGTTTCGTTCCGTCGGGTGTTCTTCAGGTTGTAAGCCCGGAGGAGGCGAGAACAGAGCCGCAATTTGCGTAATTGTGATGGCGGTGCTTGAGGAGCCACAGCCCAGCTCTTATGTACGATATATTATATACCTACATTGTATATGGCTTTGCGAATCCCATAGTCCCGCAGCACTTAGCCAACGGTAGATGAAAATTTAACAGCAAAATGCAGAACGCAGCCATTACTAGAAGACAATTAGAATCCTGACTACATGACGCCCGGATATTTTCTATTCGCCAGCTGTTTATGCATCTGCAATCGTTTCAACGTTTCCCCTTAATTCTTTAATCCACCTTTACGTGCTTCTGGTGCCTTGACTGTATCCTTGCATTAAAACTTTATACACTGCGCACGACTCGCACGTATCTGCTTATGCACATTAATAAAATAGCCAAAGGGTACAAGCAGTGACCATCCTCGCGCACCATTGACTTTCTACGTGCAAGTACGCAACCGAGAATAATGTCATCCTTGAAGAAGACGTCCCGGAATATCGTACCGCTATATAATCAAAGACTATATATATATCCTTACTATAATAATCTCATCTGCTATTGATTTTATATTTATTTATGAGCTACAAGGAATTTCTCCTGATTCCTCCTTACTCTTATTGGGTTGTATATTTATTTATTACGTGGTTCCGTGTAACTTGAACAGTTAGCGTGACGCGTGCATCTACGTCCAGGGTACCTTGACCAAAGCTAAAGGCACCTATGCAACCAGTACTGCACCAGCGTACTTACGTACGCTTCGCGTATTCACGTAGGGGTATGTAGCTATGTATGTAAGTATGTACGTAAGTGCGCACGAATGCGAGATCAGCAAATCTAAGATCGTGCAACTGGTGTCCAGTGGCGTGTCCGCGGCGTACGATGCGGTCGACTCTTGCCACCAGGAGGGTTACCAAGTGGATGCGAGCTAAGAGTGAACGATGAGGGGGCTCCAGGAGGAGAAGGAGGAGGAAGGTGGAATGCGCGGCTCTCGAAGGAGGAGCTGTCGGCGGTGAAAAATCACGCACCCTGCCACCACTGCCATGGCCAGCATCTGCTCTACATACCCGGGTTCTCAACCCGGGGTGAACGGATTCAACAAGTTCAGCGTAGAGGGACTGTCCTTTTTTTTCAAATTTTTCTCATTTACAAAATGCATATTTAAGGAAATAATAAACAATACCGATTTCCAGTTCAGCAGTTCAATATTCTCATTCGGCACGTCTTTCGCAATATCGTGACAACTTGAAGATTCATCCCGCTGGAAGTCGATCAAGTGATTTTTTGGTATTTTAAGTAAATCCGATTTTTTAATCGATTCCAAAGTTTAAATAGGACCTTTTCAGATAGTATGATCGTGCTCAAGGTACAGGTGGATCCTCATTGAGAACCACTCAGAATCGGAGTGTGGTGAAGCAGAGCAAGATATACGTACGTTGGCTGAGCTACCGGTCGGTCGGGTCGGGTCGCTGTTCCCCTGTGTTCCATCTCTCCCTTTTGGTTCGTTTTGCTGTTCCTCTGCCTTCTTCTTTTCACCTTCACATCCTTCATCCCTTCTCTCTCTCTCTCTCTCTCTCTCTCTCTCTCTCTCTCTCTCTCTCTCTCTCTCAATCTCTCTCTATCCCCTTCTCCCTCTACCAACCTCCCTCTGGTTCACTCCCAAGAGTTGTTGTTCGATTGTTTTATTACTTTTATAAAGGCCGCCGCCACCATGGGCGCTTCCTTTGTTGGAGTCCATCGGGGCCATTGTTGCCCGATGGAAAGATGCGAATTTTAATTTGATATTGTCTAATATTATTTATGCATGCGCACCAAGTCGAGCCACTTCAAAAGGGACGTACCCAATCCCTCTTCTATTCCTTCCTATCCCGTTCCTACCACTTACCTTCGTTCTCCTCTGCTGCCCCTTCGTCCTCTTTTTCCCCCCGTGCAACCTCAACAAATAAAAATATCAGAATATCCCCAGCTCGTATGCTAAACCGCACCATTGATAACCATTCCGGATAACCGATATTCATGGTAATTTCATTCACCGTGGTACCCCTATACAATCCGATTTAATTGTTGATAGTTAAGTCCTCTCGCAACGGCATACGGAATGACTTTAACCTGATCCAATAACAATTTTTATACACTGCCGCCTAATGCGCCTGACAAAATATCAGTGACGTCCGCGCATGCGCCATGACGATGTCCTCCAGGAATCAATATCATCCGCCGACGTCCAGGCTCACGGGCTGGTCGATCAGCTACGCTATAACAACAGACGCAACAGTTACCCCAGTTTCAGTTTGTACGTAAAGATAGTTAAGGGAGCAAAGAAAAAAAAATGTAAAATTTTTTTCATAAGAGACCCTAAAGTTTTTGGAATCTGATCCTAACTGAGCCAACTCGACTGAAGTCGTATAAGAGTGTTGACCCGCGAGAACAACAGGTGTTTTCGTCGTCAACAGTGATAACGCGCTGGTCGACTCCACGTAATGGATACACATACATAATAATGTTGGCTGGGTACGAGAGCCTGTAAATCACCTGGACCAGACGGAGAGGATTAATCTGCGGGAAGGATGTAAAGCGATATGGCGAATCCAAAGTGGTGCGTCGTCCAGGATCCTGGGAACGTGGTCGCTCATCCTTTGATCAAGATGACCGATCGACTATCGCTTGGTATCAATTTGAGTATCTTTCTGATACTAACGATATTCGCCACTCTGCTTTTCCTACCGTTACGCTTGCTACTCGATACGAATTACGAGACCCGTCAGGATGACGTGGTTATGCCAGAGTCCGTCGTCGAGCCTCGTCCTAGTGAACCTGAGGAGATCATGATTGATTTTCGTGCACTTCGGATTTGTCCGGGCTACCGGTATTCGCTTCTGATTAAGTCTATCTACCTCAGTGATTACGATGGGAACTGTACCTTTTTCATAGAGAAAGACGTGGTCGTCGAAGAGAGGATCGCACCGGAGGAGGATCTGGATACGGCTGTCGTTCCTCTGCAGGAAGTGGAGGAGAGTGCAGGGGTCGTTGTTGAAAAAATCGAGGGACGTGATCAAGGTAAAAACAGCCGGACCAAATCCATCTCCATGGCAGGACACATCCTGGCAGCCATGCTCACCGTATCGTCCATCGTCGCACTCGTGGAGGTCCTCCGGATTCGTTTCGGCAAGCCTGAGGTAGTCAAGTCAACCTGATCAGAACCTTGAACAGTTCCGTAAGATCATAAACTCCTAATGAATCCTCTGTGAATGATCAAGGGACCGTCCGCTTGCGGTAACGTCGCTTCCAGAAAAGGATCTCTTGTTGATTATTCTCAAAGGCGATATACTCACGTGAAGATGCAACCTCAGAGATCCTTTGAGAAACAAGGGATTTATACCGAGGCTAGGGTGCAGGGTCTACGTCTTCTTGGTAGGCGAAAATTATGTTAACCCGAACTACTATTCCTTTGTATATATTTTATTGATCCTCACAGGAGCGAAACCGCCGCCATTGATACGACGCTCTTCTTTTCCCACTCAGCTCGCTAGGAAGTCCATCGTCATCCCAGGCGGCGGGACGCCCCTGAGTCGCACCATGTCGCGACGACAATCCGTCGATTCCGAGGACGAGATTGGTGTTCTCAACACTCCTCTTCATCATCGCACTCGTCTTATTCGACGCCATTAAGCACGCCCTGCTTCTCTCAGGCCGATTCTGTAAACGTGAACTACCGCCACGTCGATTTCCGACTTATTAAATACTTCGCTTACAGATATATTTATACTTCTCGTATGCACCGATGGAGCTGACGGAGTACACAAACTACACGGATTTATTAGTATTTATTATATTTCTAATCTTCTTTTCTGATTCGTCCGTGTATGCCCGCCATTTTATCAAGCAGTTATTCAATGATTGTTATTATTGATTGTAAAGCTGTTTTTCTTGACGTGTTCTACAACGAAGGAGATTTTTATGCTGTTTTTAAATTCTTTGAACTTTAAGAATCAAACACATTTTTTGAGGTTATATCTACTCATTCTTGTAGCTGAACCATAGACTTAATACACGTTCCTGATTCAAGAGGCTTTTGAAGAACATGAACTCGGCTGAATTTCGAAAATACTTTTCTGCATAAGTGAAAATTTGTGCCGTCTTGCCGAGAGACAAGGTAATTAAGTTAACTGATCAATTTATCGTTTACTAATTTGCAATAATGGATATATATGCTTTTCAATGATTAAATGGAAATATAAGTTGTTTTATTTTTTAGAAATGGCGAAGTCTTCGAATTGTACAAGAGCCAATAACCATCTTTGAAAATTCGGCTCTTCTAGGTGTTTCATTTTTGGTTTAAGCTTCCTCCTCGAGGCTGACTATCAACGAGAATGAAAAAGAGGATTACGAATTTTCGCAAAACTACGAGGTAGAAAATTTTAGTAATATTTTCGTAACGCTTAATGACTGATATTCAACTACGATGTATCAGAGTAGTCACGGTGAAATTTCTAAAGATCGTATCGCCTTGTGATTTTTATCATTCTACATGTGATATTCGTATTGTGAAACGAAATCGAAATATACGAACAGATGTCAATGTTAATCGTATCCCTTTGTCTTTCATATCACTAATTTGATGATGAATAATACAAATAGTTCATTACAAAAAAAATGAAGCAATAGATGTTATTATTGTTGTAGTAATTTCTTTTCTTTTAATTTTTAACACATTCAATAATGGAAGACATATCTCGACGTTAAAGATCATCAACTAAACACTTGCGAGAAGATATACAGTTTGACATATTTACAAAGATACTTCAAAGACCATAAACGGCCGAAGAAGATCGTTTAAAGTTGGCGCAATTCCGTTTTACCGTTGCTCAGCTAACTTCAGCATGTGGTCAGCCTGCCGTATGAGAAAGTTTGTACATAAAGTTACGCGCAGAAGCGGCTGTTCTAGGTGGCAGCAGGTGCAAGGCCAACATACGTCCTCGTCGAAGCTAAACGCGCAAAAAAGTGGAATCATGAATTAAATGTGTCGCGGCATAAGGCTCTTATAACGAATTGGGATCCGCGAGTGTAAGATGTGCGATGTCGTGGATTAATTGTGAGCATTGCGCTTTCTCATCATGCAGTGAACTGGTTACGGCCGGAAGTAGCTCGCTTGTTCCACAGTTGCCAAGGCGACTGCTGTGTGTGTGCCATGAGAAGAGGGACCCCGAATTGCCGCATTTACTATTTTCCAGCTTTTTTTAAATAATCCACCGGCTTATTGATGCCTCGGAGACGATTTTAGTCAACATTACAATGGACTATTCTGTATTAGGCCACTACGATCCGTGCGTAGAGGCCGCGGCTGTTGGTGAGCAGGAGTTGCTCTGTGAGTCCAATTCGCGGCAACTATACGTGTTTTGACAGAACACAAATTTTCTTGACGCCTCTCTAAGCGTTTTATAGCGCATTTTAGTTCTTGTTACTTTCTTTTTTAACAAAGTATGCAAAGTCTTTGTTAAATTATTCGCGCCATTTTTGTACTCTTCTGAGACTATCATTTTGTTATACTGTTTCTTTCCCTTGGCTATTGTTTTTGTATATCATGACTCCTTCGCCTTGTTGCTTGTATTAATTTTTTTTATTTCTTCTATTTGACTTCTGTATAGACTATTCTGATATAGTTGTATCCTATTCTTATTTCGGATTACCTTTATCCAAATTATATTTTCTGTTATTCGTATATACGCTTTGTAAAGGCTGTTGGCTCCGCAGTAGAATATTGTATTGTATATTTTACTCTTGGTATGACTTATAATTTTCTTGATTAGGTGTTATATAAGCTTCTTTCGGCCGTTAATCTGTATTTCACATTAAGGATAAAATAAACTTTTATCAAATGATTTACTTCTTTTAAAGGGGAAGAATCAAATTATGATTTATCTGGAGAAGGTTTTGTGCCTGCAGCAGAACAGTTTGGGGAAGAATTCGCTGGGGCTGAATTTCAGGAAACCAGAGCATTACTTGCTGATGGAGGGGATCAGTTTGGTGTGTCTACCATTACGTTCGACACAGTGGAGGAACTCATGTGGATGGGGAATCAAGGGGTACAAAAATGCAATTACTAAAGGCATCAGCATTATTCATTGAATTTTAATAATTGCTGGTGCAAACTCTTTACCTCTTTGTAGGGTCACGTAACGTCATACTATGGGTCTGGCTTGCAAAAGTACACCTCCTTTCAAGTCCATGCCTCACAGGAAGTGCGACATATTCATCCTGTGGATGAGGGAATCTTAGTGCTGACTCAGAGCATATTGCGGTGTCAGCTTCGTCGAGGCATACCCATATTTACACACACGTAAGTTTCTCTCGCGTCAGCATACACTAGTTCAAATAATGATAACCATATAAAACTCCAGGTCATCCAATATGATTGACATGCAGTGCATGCTTCAAATTTCGCCAACGAGACTGCTTATGGGGGGTCATCAGGAAAAAATAATTGACTTTAATCTAACTAGAGGAAAAGAGACTGGACTAGTGAGTAGTCAAAATTCCTACGATGCCACTAATTTAATAAAATTTTATATTCCTACGATCCCCTTATTCTCGAAAATAGGTTCATGTTGGCGAACATGGTTGTGCAATATTAAGGCAACATAGTCGTCTGGTGTGCGCGGGTAATCCCGCAGGAAGGATAGACCTCAGGGATCCAAATACATTATCAATAGAGCACACACTTGATACACATAGCGGTTCGCTAAGTGACTTCGATGTACAAGAAAATTATTTGGTCACATGTGGTTTTAGTAACAGGTGAGATTAGGACGTTCATGGGTTCATATAAAATTACAATTTGTATCCATTTCTTATTGTAGATAAATCTACAGCTTGTACAAAAAGAAATGTCCTGTGAAAGATGTCATCTTTCCTATACCATAGAGTTCCATTCTAATCACATGTTTCTATATAAATTCAGTCGTCAGGGCCTTTCGGTTGATCGATTTCTGATGGTTTACGATCTGAGACAAATGCGAGCACTGAGTCCCGTCACCACCCTGGTCTATCCGCTCCTACTGAAGTTCCTACCTAGTTACTCCAGTCGTCTTGCTGTTGTATCACCCTTGGGTCAGATGCAGCTTTTTGACACCATTTACGCGAACGTACAGCCATCAATGACGTGTCTCTATCAGGTAATATTTACTCCCTTTAATCCCAAAAAGAAGTGACAAGTTACTCTTATTTTTATTATTAATTTTGGTATTCAGGTCGCTACCGGAGGTGCCTTGGTGCTGTCATTTGACGTCTCACCAACTTCCCAATGTCTTTGCTTTGGAGATGCTGCAGGGTCTATACATCTCATGTCAACAAATACTCCAGAACCACAGTTCAATACATTCTCTCGGTTAGTTTTGATACAAATATTAATTCCTAAACACATTTGTAAACTAGTATTATTAATAATTAATCAAATGACATTGTTCCAGACCAACAGAATTTGCTGATCCTGTAGAGACACTCCAGCCCATTGCATTCGATGATCATATGACTCCATTGAGTACAATACCAATGATGTATACTGGACATACATTGCTCAGTGACTGGCCCGAAGAGTACTTAAAGAAAGTTTATAGGTGAGCTATTGCATTTCTTGTTTCTTGTGCAGTAGGAATATGGGATCTTTTTAGAGTTTAATGAAATTACTTGTTCTTCCTGCCTTTTCTTCCAGAAAAACACCGTCAATCGATCCCGAAATCCTGCGCACAATGAAGATGCAAGGAACAATAGGTTACGCTCCAAATCCTCAGGCCTTTCGCAGAAACCAAGTGAGGAAACAATATTCTCCCACTCTTCTACAGTATTCACCACCGTCACTCCTTAAGTTCCCGTAACTTCCGCATCCTCCGCGTCTCCTGGGGGACATCCACTTCCGATTTGAGCCGAATCGATATCAGAAGTGTCAGGCTAATTAATAGAGAAAGAAAAAAAAAATTAAAGCAATAACTGTACCTAAAAATCTAATACAGATAAATTCTTTGCTCTTCGACCACTGGGAGTCTAGAACGAAATGATACATGCCTTATGCGAAATTTCAATAATTCTAAACTGCATGTTCGAATAGTATAAAAATCCGTTAGATCATTCCAGTGAAGTTTTCAATAGAACAAAGGATATATATATATAATCCCTGCTAAATCGTGTATGAAACTAAGGGCAAAGGTGAAAAGCATAATTAGATAATGCTAAAAATAACGTGCATAATAGGCTATTATGATTTCGAGTACCGATACGGCACGTTTTGATGACGTTTGATAAATAAATATCTAAGCAATATTGTTCTAATTACAAGCTAAAGCTCAATGTGATCATAGGGATAATAGTGTCATACAAAGTATGGAGAAAAAAAAAATGAAAATCCGATTTTGAGTAAGACTGATGAGACTTCGTGATAATTATTATATAGTTGTTGAAAAAGCATGTTATAAAACCGTGATATTATATTTTCGTAAGCTAGTCCATTGTGTTACACTGATTTACAGTGCTGCCATGCTAAAGCGGGTTGTTACTCTTGGGGTAAACTAAATCCGTCTATACACATTTTTATATTTACCATATTATTCAAATTCCTATGTTTATACTTTTTCAAAATAATTTTTCTTTTCTAAATAATATACCATATTCGTTCTTACATTTTTTTCCAGTGTAAATTTAACTACAACTTTTTATAGCGTTCAATCAGTTTGTCAATCTAATAATTACTATCTTGTTTATTTTCATACGAATTTCTTATTAAATTGGTTGCTTTTCAGTTAAGCAAAAGAAACAAAAATACATACGTATAACATAAAAATGATTAGGACTGTTTTTGCTTGTCAGTCAATTTTTTGTTCATGTGGCAAGTCTTCAGTAGGCAATACCAAGTTGAACTGTTGGTAGATTACTTCCCACGACATTCGTTACTTGTTATTCATGTCCAATTGTACTAGACATGGATTCGTTATTTTTCTACGTAATAGATTTTGATTTCAAAATGCTTCTACCGTTTACTTTATAGCGCATAAAAGCAATGGCCGCGTACCGCGAGGCTCTTTCCTGTGCTCTCTATCTTTTCCTTTACATATATATATATATATGTTTTTGCTTTCTGTTTTTCTCCCTTATTTTTAATAACACTATCATTTTATGAGAGGGCTGCATATACTTTTTATTTTTATTTTAGTAAGCATGAACTTTTTCAATTGATAATGTCTAACATTAGCTCCTTTCTCGTTTGAAGATCTGAAACCTGATATATTAGTTGATCTAATATATAAATATACATATAGAATATGTTGCTCATAAAAATGTATACTCCAAGTTGTAATTGAATGAAATAAAGGTTGTATGAGACACTCATAAGCCTGACTTTAATATAATTAAACTAGCCGTTTGCCGAATCACATATCCCATTGCGTTCTGCCAATAGGTATTATTTATATTTTTTAACAGCCTTTTTGGTTATTTTGTTAAAACTCCCAAGAGATTCACATAACAACTTATTATGCACGAAAATCGATAGCTACAAGTTTGCTTACCAGTAAATTTGTGTTTTTTTTTTTTTTTTTTTTTTTTTTTTTTTTTTTTTTTTTTTTTTTTTTTTTTTTTTTTTTTTTTTTTTCAAAGCCATCAGAAAGCAAAGAAAATGTCTTGTTTTCTTGGCTACTTAAGGGATATAAATATTGCGCTCTTTTACAGATCCCATACAATTTGGAAAAGCGTCGTGGCGTCGTTACGAAGCTCTTTGCCGGAGACTCAAGATCCAAAACCGAAGACGGCACTTTCGTCGCAATACCAAAGCGTTATCGTAAAATCGAAGTGAAATATTCACGTCTCGGTTATGACGAATTTGACTTCGATCAATACAATCGCACCAGTTTTTGCGGATTGGAGGCCACGCTTCCGAATAGTTATTGCAATGCAATGTTACAGGTAAGCCAAAATCATAATTAGAAAAAGAAAGCAATGGAAATAAATTCTTTTTATCAACAATCTTTCTTCAGTTGCTGTACTATTGTGAACCGGTGAGAATAGCCCTGCTGTCGCATTCGTGTCAGCGAGAATTTTGTCTCTCCTGCGAATTGGGATTTCTTTTTCATATGCTGGACACATCACGTGGTTTTCCATGTCAAGCTGCCAACTTTCTAAGAGCTTTCAGAACAGTACCAGAAGCCGCTGCTCTTGGTCTCATACTAAGCGACCTTCACCCCGAGGCTAAAAGGAAGACAAGTTTGATTAGATTGATACAGGTATGAGAAATATTTGTTTCTATGGGTAATAGGAATCCTTAAGAATCCATAAAAATCAATACAATATTTTGATTTCTTATTCAATTTTTTACTCAGAGTTGGAACAGGTTTATATTACATCAAATGCACTACGAGGTTCTGGAGACTAGAAAGCGACAGCAGGAAGAGGAAGCAATGCGGTTAAAAACTGACCCGAAGAATCCGCCGTTTGTTTACAACGAACAGGATTTTCCCAGCATCTTGCAAGATCTCGGTTCACGTTACAGAATCCACGACGAGGAACGTAAAAAACGTAGGAAACAAGAAGATGATGGTAAATATATGTGGATCACGTCGAAAGGTAAACACAATTCATGTGTATCCTATGAGATTCGGGCACTTTTTTGTGTTTATTTTTCATCCTGTTTGTTTATGAATTATTTAGATATTATTTACTTCGATGCCGCGGCGATATCCGAAGCATAAGAGGAAGATGGCTTTAGGCATGATCTTTACTTATTTTTTAGCTATAATTTTCTTTTCACTATGAACGTCTGACGAAGATTCAGGATCTTCTTGCATTCTGTGGATATTGCTAATGATTGTTTATTTATGAATTATTTTGTTTTCTTTTACTTACACGAATTTAAACTTCCTTAATCCAGAGTTTTATATCTTTTTCATTAATTTGCATGGATTACAACAAATTTATTTTTCTACTTCTAATTTGGCACTGCGTCCCAAAACATTAATTTCACAATAATTAAGTCCATATCTTTCATTAAGCATACCAGTATTAAGTTTTGCATGTAACAATTCAATAAACTTATCTTACAATTTCACAGTGTCATTTTAAAATACTGCATACAATATTAGTCGAATTCTATTCTGATTATCAATGTTATAACATGAGTTAAATCAAGTGATAAGAATTCTACTTCTTGTTATCTGCGTGTAACATAATAATTAATAAATTAATTTATTCCATATACATACAGATAATAACAGTAAAAAATCCGTCGAAGAAAACGACGTCCGCGACGAGGATACAGAGATCAGTCGATTATTCGGCTCCGAGCAGATTCACATTCATCGCTGTTTAAAGTGCGGACAGGAAGCATCAAAGCATTCAATAATGTTGCTCTGTAATTTGGTCTACCCAGAAGTCTCTAGTTCGAGTAAGATTTCTTCTCACATTATGATATAATTTAAGTATAAATTTCATATTTTTACATTAAAACATTTCTTCTTCAGCGGAGGAGGTTCCATTCACTAGAGTATTGGGACGTAGTTTGCGCCCAGAGAAAATAACACCAGCTTGGTGTGACAGTTGTCAAAAATTTACGCCAACTTTACAGTCTCGACAATTAACAAAATTACCTCAAATACTGGCTTTGAATTGCGGCCTCGATAGTCAACAGGTAAACCTTATATTACAATTTTTATGAATTTGTTGACCTAATCCATAAATTTAACGTGCTCTAGGATAAAGACTTTTGGCAAAATCAAATGGATATCGTAGTGCAGAAAGTCGTAAGTGGAAAAGTTTTTAGTCCAGCCTCCAGTCCTGTACCAATAACAATTAAACCTTGTCGTTATGGAGTTAACTGCACGCGAGTTGGTTGCAGATTCCGCCACGTTGGCCGAGATCCAGGTAAAAATTCCTTAAAAAATAAATAAAACATTGTTAGGCAGTATCAATCTTTGTAATAACTATCCGTTGATTGTTAACTTTTCATGGAATGCCAGAAGCAAATCCAGCATCGCCAGCTGCACCAGTGTCATCAGCAATTCCTATAACAGCTCCACCCAGTCATCTGTATTATTCGCATTCCTGGATTCCACACAATATCGAAGTCATACTTTATGATAATGGCGAGCTGTCCATCGAAAAGTTGGATAAGATTAATCAAGGTGATACTAATGGTAGCAATTCCAGCTCGCCCAAAGTGGTAATAGAAAATGGACAAGGAGACAACAAGATTGAGAAAGATGCAGAAACAGTGAAGGACCAAAATGAGAAAGACACGAGTAATCCTGAGGGTACCAGTTCACGTACAGAAAGTAATAAAAATATTGTCAAGAAAGTGCAGTATATTTTGAGCGCTGTGGTTTGTTATGTCGATGACAAGAATGATGAAGACAGAAGGAACATTGTTGCTCTGATTCGTGTTGGTCCTTATTATCATGAGAGATTGGCTGGCAGCGCCGTCTCGCAGTGGTACATATTCAATGACTTTTGGTAATAAATTTTCTTTGGCACTCTCAGTTATTTAAACAATTTTTTTCGAAATATTAATATGCCTTGTTCAATTATAGTATATCAGCAGTGACGCCACAGGAAGCCGTTTGGTTCAATTTAGACTGGAAAGTACCTTGTGTCCTTCACTATACAGCGATACCAGCGCCGGAAACAGCACAAGTCATTAGTCCATTGACTTATGACGTTTTTGGAGAGGATAAATGTATTGCACGTAGTGGAGGAACCCGAGGGATAACATTTACACCTTTGACTTCAGACGAAATGCCGAAGAAAGGTAGAAACTTGGTAAAAAAAAAGATCTATGGCACAATGTGATATATTTTTTTTTTCTTTTCAGGAGAACTAGTAGCCATTGACGCTGAATTCGTTACCTTAAATCAAGAAGAGTCGGAACTTCGTAGTGATGGTAAAATGTCGACTATCAAACCAAGTCACATGTCGGTTGCACGTATCACTTGTATACGCGGGTACGTATGCGAGATATAATTTTATATTTTATTTCTGTCTTCTAATAATTTTTTTAATACGTAGGCAAGGACCACTCGAAGGAACACCCTTTATAGATGACTACATAAGCACTCAGGAACAGGTTGTCGATTACTTAACAAAATTCAGTGGAATACAACCAGGAGACCTGGACGCAAATTTCAGTAGTAAACATTTAACAACGTTAAAATCGACCTATCAAAAATTACGGTTTCTGGTTGACAATGGCATAATATTTGTTGGTCATGGACTTAAGAATGATTTTAGGTAAAGTAAAAGTCCTCTAATAATCTGGCGTCTCTAGTGAAACACTTACGAATTGTTTACAGAGTAATAAATTTGGTGGTACCACCCGAGCAAATAATCGATACCGTTTTGCTCTTCCATCTGCCGCATCGTCGAATGGTGTCTCTGCGTTTTTTGACTTGGCACTTTTTACACAAGAAAATACAGTCGGAAACGCATGATTCGGCCGAAGATGCTCGAGCGGCCCTCGAGCTTCATCACAAGTACAAGGAACTGGAAAATTCTGGTAAACTGATGGATGCTCTTAAGGAATTGTATAGTGTTGGCACCCAACTGCAGTGGAAGGTTAGTATCCTTGATACAATTTTGAAAATAAATATGAAATAAATTCCATGCTACAAATATAATATATATTTATTTAGGTACCAGAAAGCTGATGCTCGAACGAAATAGCAACCGATGGAAGTTGCAAAAATGTGCCGAGCAGTGGTGCTCACAACGTCTAGCTGTGAAATATTTCAGGTGTTCTGACGATTAACGGGAATTAATAATTAAGTTATGGAAAAGAAACAAAAAAAATTGGGAAACATAGTACTCCAGCCATACCGTTAAAACTGATTCGATACCTAAATAATTTATTTATAGGCAAAAATTATCGCGGTTAACCAATTATTGTGATTTTGTCCGATAGATAATTATCTGTCATTTCGTTTTTTCTTTTTTTTTCGTTATTATTTTTTTACAGTAACTTTCGACAAACTTAGGTAAAATTGCTTTTACTGATAATTGAGCGTCAAGGATAACAAGACTTGACATACGATTCGACTTTTACGGGTATGGTAATTCAAAATGGTGAATTTTATTTTAGAATCGGTTTAATCGTATCTCCTTGCATTAATCATAAAGCCCATTCAAGTATCCAGAATTTTTAACGATTATGACCCGACGTACAAAACGTACCTCTTTCAATGAGATTAAACGACACTTACGTAATGCCATTCATACGGAAATTATAGTCAGCAAAGGAAGTGAAACAAAGAAACAGAAAATTCTCGTAGATCATAATCGTGATCGTCCGTTTCATACGATCTATACGATACGACGATACATGAAAATATATTGTCCGATAGCGCACAGTGTTTCTGTGAAAGGTCGACACTTCAAACTCCGCCCTGATGGCGCAGTATATAATATATTTTTTATTTTCACAACGATCCACGCCATTGCATCATATATACGTATTGAATGAGTATCTCGAGAAACGAATCACTTTTACCATTTCCAAAAACATATATTTTAAAGAGTTTTGCAACAATTTGTAAATATCAATTAGTTCTTTAGCAATAATGGACTAAATGACGAATTTTCAAGCTTTTCTTTTAACTATGACTTTTTATATACACATTTTTTCCCATTTTTCAATGAAGATTCTTATGTCGCGTGTATGATTTCGTTTAAGGGTTTTTAATTTGCCATTTATTTTTTCTCTGTGAATCTTATTTTTTTTCGTCATTAAACTCTGTCATTATACTTGCAACTCGATGCACTGCAAAAAGTTAATGAGCCTTGATGCTGGTGCTACTATCTTATTTCTCTCCACCTGTCACCATTATCTTTAGATACCAGTAAAAAGAAATTAATAAGAGCATAATGACAAGATGAAGGGATACGAAAAATTTATGAATATCAAAGCTGACAACAATGTTCTTTTGCCAAGGAGCTCCCTTGTGAAATCGGTGAAAGTGTATTTTATCGAGATACATAATAGGTATATTTTACAAAGTAATCTTAACTCATTGTAAATTATTTTTATATGCATTTTGAGATAAAAGAAAAAAAAATAAAATAATGAAAAAGATAAGCGATGACGGTCAAAATCTAATACCAAATGAAGAAAACAGGAATACTGTAATGTATATTTTTGGATATTTGGATGAATTTTCTTATAGTTTTGAACAATGTCCACGGCCAATTTCCAAAAGAGTTCATCAACTTACAATTGTAAACAGACCGATAACTCATAATGTCAATAGTAATCATGCATTTCTTTTACATCTGTTACTGTTATGTCATTGTGATTTTCAATAAATGATTATACCGAAATACAAACTTATAATATTATACACCCAGCCTTGAATCAGAAATACCATAAACACTTAAATTCTTCAGATACAACCTAACTATAATCTTTGACTGATATTTAATGAATATACAAAGTTTTGCTTATGCATACGCAAAGTAGGTATTGTGTTTTATGAAAAGAAGTATAATCTAGAAATGTAGCATTAATATCATTTTATTTTTAATATTACACCTTAACACTGTATGTACAGGTCAGTTCATTTAAACCCGATACCGAGTCATAAAAACCGGATATAATCTCTACTCAAATTATTATTGCATTAGGCTACTCTAGGAAAATTTAGTAGAGAATTAATAATTTACAGATTGTACACACATACATAGGGCATGAGACCCTTTCAACGGTGTATCATTCCAACATACACATTATACGTAGAGTTTCGTTTCCATTTTTTTTTCTTTTTCGTTTAATAAATAATATAAACCCCAGATCGTTTTAAATGGCTCCCGCCCGCTACCGAGCCGTAATAAGATACTCCAGCAATAATGAGATCTGTCACAGCAGATAAAAACGAGAACGTCACTCAAGTAAAAAATTGTTTCGCGCCATTACAAACGAGCTTGTTTATTTTCGCCAACGTTCCTAATTTCTCATCTCCGTTTTTCGTAGCTGGAGTGAAAGGGAAAAAATGAAGAAAGAAAAACCTTGTCATTCGAAAAATTGCAAAGCTCGTTCCCATTGTCTTGAGATTTAAAACAGAAAAAAAGAACATCTCTATGTACACGGGCGACGCGAATTTGAATTTCGTTCGTTCGAAACTTGTACCGCGCATGCGCGGCTTATATAAGTATAAAATTGTTTCTGACTAGAAACTTCCATGGGGATGGCAAAGTGCACGGAGCTGGAAAGGAGTATCGTTGGCAGTATGTTTTAGATTTCTAAATACGAACAAAAAAACGCTAATATAAGTTTCTTTCTTTTTTAGTACAATTGAGAACGTCGTTAAGGCACTCTCGCGTCTGTTAAATATATCAAAATGTATAAAACTCGCTCGGATCGTCTTCGCATCGCTTATTGTAAACAGATACGACGCGGCTTTGTAATATCGCGGATAAAAACCGCCAGTCGATTATTTACTATCTTCCAATAGACTTCGCCCATCGCGATTTCATTGAATGCTATGGCATGTGTTTAAAAAAAAAGATATACGTGCACAGTCTCGCATACGTAATTTCTGAAAGCTGTTCGTCAACAGTAACAATTCACTCGTTATTCGAGAATCAGATGAGCATTCCAACATATTCTATTATTTGCTTAGGATTTATCTTCCTTTAAAAATGACCGTTTCTATTCAACGGCTGCCTTTCTGGAACGTCGGACGGTCTGTTACGCTTGAAGAATCCACACTGCAATTTAAAAAAAAAAAAAATAATTAAAAAAAACCATACCCCTAATAATTCACACAATAGACCATTAGTGGCAAATTTCTAAACTTACCTTATAAAGAAGATATATAAGTAAAAGTAGTATTATCGTTCCAGCACAAGCGGAGAGTACAACGACCCAGAGAGGAACGACATCAGGTGCCAATGGTAATGCAGTAGGCTGCAAGCTGGTAGTAACTTCGGAACTATAGACAACTCGATCCCTGGGGGCGCCAATGTAGGGTTGTTTAGTAACCTGAGCGATGAGTTTAGTCGAGACTTCTACTTGCTCATTGAAGGCAAATTTCTTCAGTGTACTGGCCTTGACCCTGTACCTGGTACTAATCCAGGCTTCTTCATCCTTATTTAAGGACTCTATACTGCAATGCAGTACAATACACTTGGCAGCTGTACACTGAGGAAACTGGATGTCCGCATCGATGTCTTTCGCGTAGTCAGGAATTTGATCGAAATTATCCTCTCTACGGTGTCTGTGGTGGTGATGATGATGTTGACGCTTCTCGTATCTTCTGAACTCCTCGACGCTCATCACGTCACTCTCTCTTCTATATCTATAATTACGACGTTGATCAGGTCGATTGGTTGGCACATTGTCACCCGCAGGAACATTTACGTCACTGTCCCTGCCGTAGACTCTGGTGTTGTACTTCTTCTCAGAAGAGTGCTTCTCTTCGTGGGTTTGTGACCTGTATATTTCGAAAGCACCACCTTCTTTATTGTCACGACTTGAGGATTTCTCGTGCCAAGAATTTCCGTATGTTCTACCAGCATTATCTGCTTCCTGCGCTACCTCGTGGTACCTTTGACCACCTGATGAGTATGTCCTAGAAGATTCTCTGGGTTCACCATCTGTAGAATACGTTCTTCTTTCTGTGTAAGTATATGAAGTTTTCAATGGAATCATTTTGCCATCCTTTAATTGGATGTAGTGTTTGCCATCGTGACCAGTTATCAATTGACCTTCTAGTCTTAAGAAATTACTTTGATGTTGTACACTCTGATCGCTGGAGGTATAACTTGGCTTTCCGTATTCATTCATAAGTTCTAATATATTGCCATCTTTAAATTCTATGTACTCCTTCCCGTCGGCTGCCGCACGGAATCTACCCTTGAACATGACAAACTGTTTGCCGTCTTCGTTATAAATATCGTAAGCACTATCATCGTTCCCCAGCTTACTGAAGAATTGCTTTAGGTCTTCACTATTATTCATCAAACTCAGATCAGATCCGCCAATAGTTTCCTCAGTGTCCCACTGATGTTGGAAACCAGTGTTTGCATTTGACTGAACCCTAGATCCCTGCCCGGATAAATTACCGGTTATTTCAGAGGTCTTCTGTACATTAGTATGAAATTGATCTCTATTATCGAAAGAACCGCTTCCACTCATAGCACCATCCGACTCCTGATGTTGCTTCCATCTTGTTTCAGTATTGACAGTATTAATCTTTTGTTGCGTTCTGTGAATTTCCGAACCAACATCAGTGTTCGCTTCGCTCATTTCTCTCTCAAGTTTTCTACGCTCAGCGTCGGTGAGTTCGTATTCACGTTGTACATTTATCGTTTTCTTGGACGATGACTCCTGATGGTTGACGCCTGCCAAGTTTCCAGATCTCATATGGCTCTCACGTCTTTCATCCAACTGCAAAGTACACAATAATGATTAACAGTTATCAAAATGCACTATACAGTATGATGTACATGACTTGAATTAAGTAATTATATTATGTATTAGGTGTAACGTACCCGAAGACTCAAGTAATTGGCATTGGCAGATTCGCAAGTAATTGGTTTAGACACCTCTGGTTGTTCGAGTAAGTAAAGAAGTTCCTCGTCAGCTATAGTCTTTGCAGGCCATACCAGATAAACTTCTGCTTTAAGAATTCTATTTGGACCCCGATTACTTATTGTATAATTGTGAGTGAAGGCCGGACCAAATTCCAATTCCGTAGTGATATTCTCAGCAGTGAAATTGTCAGGATTATAATACAGATTCTTGGGCCTGCTCTCGCCTACAATATCAAGTACAGTCTCTACCCAGATGGGCAGTGAGAGATACTGCCGGTTGTCACTCATAGTGTCTTTTTCGGGATTAGTCGTGTTGACATTCATCTCCAATTCATAAGTGGCTTCCATCTCGTCAGACGTTGTTGGCTGAAGTATTACATCAAACTTGATAGACTTATTTCCAGGAAATGGATTCCCTATATCGCAACGCAATACATTATTCTTCGACTGGGTTCGCAGCGAGCACTGTACCACAATTTCGCTCATTTTGGCCTGTTCTGTATTTACATAATTAATTCCAGGTGGCAATTTCAGATAGAACATAGCTTCAAACGCGTCCTCGCCAATGTTCTGAACCAGAACAGTCAAGTTCAATCTTTTTCCAGATCCCACGTGATATTTGTCTACATTAGGCTTAACGGTCAGCTGAAGATCCGGTACACAAATGTTGTTAGAACCACAGTTCTTTCTAATAGAAAATGTGTCCTTCCGGGACGTGGTGGAACCTAGGACAGGCCTCAACGGTGTCCTAGGATTCCTTGGACTGTAATCATAAAGGTGATCCTCTTTCAAACTCATTCTCATCTCGGCGTCAAAAGGCGTGAGCTTGTCGCGTATTTCCGATGACACGTAGACCTTGACAGTGCGACAGTATTCTACATTGCGTTCCGCGAGAATGGTGCTACTCATGGTGCTGTTTTCTTCATGATCCAGGAAGAACATACGCGGAGCCTTTGGCTTCTTCACATCCAGAACGTATTGTACATCAAACTCGTGACGAGGTAATACACCGTCACCAGAATAAGTTAGACAGGCTTTCAATGGAAGACACGTAACCTCAACGAGATTCGAGAGCGTGCAGGTACGAATGTCCAGGTCGATAACCTTCGAATCCAATTCGAACACCACGTAGGAATTCATCTTGATGATAGGTCTAGATCTAAAGAACATGGCAGTGTTAGACTCATAGGCTCCTACAGCCAAATCGGGGTAGCCATTCTGATCCAGGTCATGTCCACCAGCTATGGAGAAGCCAAACGTTTGTATCGGTGTTTCGAGGTTCGCAGCGTCGATCACCTGAGAGGATTTCTCAAGGACACCTTCAGAAGAACCATGATAAATATAAACGGCCCCGCGACCCTCTGAACCACCGTAGGGTTCACCAACGGCAAAGTCACCATAACCATCACGATTTATATCACCCAAGGATGCCAACGATAGACCGAAGCGACCTCTATGTATCAGCCCATCTCTGAAACAAAGAGCTGCCGTTACAATGCTGACCTCAGTGAGCACATTGAAAGTTTTCAAAAAGTTACTACTGACCTGTGGTCGTTTATTTGGAAGTTAGACGAATCCCTGCCTTGGTAATAAACGTAAACCCGACCAGTCTCGAACGACTTTTCAGGATTGTTAGGTACCGTGTACATGGGTGCACCTATGATGACATCATCCAAACCATCTCCGTTAATGTCACCAGATGCCACAGCGTATCCGAAATAGGCGCCCATTTGTTCCCCGGTTATGTTTTGATGATTTACCATGGTAGACGTAAAGAGTAGGACCTGCCAAGGAAGCACAAGGGTGTCACGCTCGACGAGAAACAATGATTTAACAACTTCCTGGTTGAATATCGTCGGTTTTCTATTACCTTTCCCTTCAGATAAACACCACGTGGCATGCCCACAGCGATACCGCTTTTTCCATTTCCAATGAAGTCTCCAGTAGCTACGGAATAGCCCATATAACTGTCATCCTCTTGGTCAAGACCCTCCTTGGTGAACATGACCCTGGATTTATCGACGGCAGACTGCGAGAATACCTGACCTGTAAAATTATATTTTTTAACATTATAACGTCAAGAAAAAATACCATCAGGAAAAAAAATTGTCCAACGTGCCACAGCATTTTCTAGCGTTGGACTTGCATGTAAGTTTAATTTTGACTTTTATTTTTTATTCAATTCGTCAAGCATAACGTGTAATTACACGGCGTATAATCACTCAATCAGCATTGCAATCACACGACGCTGTGTATATGTAAAAGCTGTCTTTTTAATCTGGCACCTGAACGCGCTAAACAATTTGAATATTAATAATATATTAATAATAATAATATTATTATTATTACAGCTAGGCATAACTAGTCACGATTTATTATGGGTAAAATACACCTGTGAGATTAACGACACTTTCGATGATTCTATAAGTAATAGAATTTTCGAAAATGCAACAGGTCCCACGGGTGACTTGCGGCATTATTATATAGCGGAACAACTGGCTTCCGGTTACTGCAGCGGTTGGCGATGTTTCAAGCTGTAAATAAACGCGAGCCCACACCTGTTAAATGGTCGTCAGCCTCGACTCACCTGGCAGTTAAAGAAAAAAAAAAGTTTGTCCGCGCAAATTGGCAAATCTTCGAAATATATGCATATGCAGTAAAGAAGCAGTATGTGTATGTATAAATTTTGTAAAATTTTAATCATCACGTCAACCAAAAGATAAATTACAAAAAAAGGTAAACACGAGGTAGTTAAAATTAGCAAGCATCGTGTTAATTGAGGTTCAACGATTAATTTTGTCGAGCCTCAAAAGCCAAGAAAACAGGTACGTACTCTGTCTTTGTATATATTCTACCAGGTTAATGGTTAAGCCAGTGGTCAGCCACTGCCAAGGAAGTGTCAAGGGTCATTGTCTATTATTGACGGAAAAAAAAAATTCGGCATAGGATGAATTTTCGTTTGTTTCAGTCGCTGTCCATTTGTTCACTGTTCTTTAGCTGGAAGGAAGAAGTCTCGTGGGCTGGCGTGTGTTAATTTGATAGCAAAGATTTCGGTAAGTTCGCGGAAAAGAGGAAAGGTAGATTATTAGAGAAATTAGGAGCGAGAAGGATAGAATCAAAATAAAGAAAATGTGTGACACGTAGGGACGCCAGCTGCGAATTCGTGGTACCTTCTTTCAAGGCCCCGAAGTAGGCGGACCTAGGTGGTATGAATGGAAACGTGACTCGGCTGTCAATGGAGTAGAGCTGACCTGAAATTTGCATATTAAACAAGTTCACCGGCAAATTAAATAAACGCAATAGATTAATGCATTTAAATTCACCCTTAGGTCCTTGACAGAAATCCTAATTATTAACTCATGCGAGGAGTCCTGAGCGTGTACACAAAAAATTTTGTCAATAACCTCGTACCCCTGTTAGAGCCTTCCACCAACATTGTTTAATAAATTTCGAATTAATATAGTTTTTAACGATTGTTACGAAAAATTATTAAAAAATAACGAGTGTGACCTATCAGGATGTTTCTTGTCGTGGAAATCAAAAAAAAAGTTTGTCATTCGAAATATATTTGCTGAAAATGAAAAATGCTGAAAAAAAATTGTTTTCGCGATAAACGTATTTCTAGATACGGACGATTTCAAAAAAAAAAAAAAAAAAAAAAAAAAAAAAAAAAAAAAAAAAAAAAAAAAAAAAAAAAAAAAAAAAAAAAAAAAAAAAAAAAAAAAAAAAAAAAAAAAAAAAAAAAAAAAAAAAAAAAAAAAAAAAAAAAAAAAAAAAAAAAAAAAAAAAAAAAAAAAAAAAAAAAAAACAAATGATAAATTTGCGCTTTCTTTTTTCAATTTTAGTCCTAACCGTTATTACGCTCAATGGAATCTCACCTTGCCAGAACCAGCTGCCCGGTGCTCCGATGAAGAGTCTGTCCCCGTCCTGTAACATTCCAACAGGATCTTCTGACTATTACACAAGAAGAATTAATAGTCGTTTGAAGGGTTTCTTTCGATAAAACCCAAGGAGCCACTTTACTCGATTTCGTCTGGTCGTTCTCTCGCCACGAAATCCATTTCACTTATACGAGTCTTATCGCCAACTTATACGAGACGTCCCGAACGATGAATTGAATCAGGATTACGGTCGGACCGTAGATTAAAGAGAATGACTTTCCTTTGTCTCGAAGATGTAGTGCAAGTATCATCGAAGTAGCAATGCAGATCCCCCATGATTCTCCAAAGGGAGAATCGTGAAGGAATGATAGAAAAAAAATTCAAAAAAAAAATACAAATTAAAAACACCAAGACAAATTTTTATATCGACCAATCGATAAAACGGTCTCTCCACGGTTTGCCGATAAAATCATCGATACACGCAGTAGCGTTGCGTTACCGGACAGCCACGATAAATTAGTCGATCGCTTAAAGACGCACGCACAATTTACGTTAATGAAAGCGATCGGGCTCCGTTTAATTTCTTTTTCAACATGGAGTCTGCCCGATAGCACGTATGCGGTTTACTTCTCACGAGAACAAGAAAATACAGATGGATCTCTGGATCGCGTAGGATACCGCAGTAAGAAAAGACGATCCGCGCGGCAAGACGTCAAGACGCGTCCACGTCGCTTCGTGAAAACGCTGCTGAATCCCATCGAGGAGTCTTCGTGAATTACTCCGCGGGGCTATAATACTCCGTGAGACGATTTTTTGCCGCGTGCGTTGGCGCAGCGTCGCTAGCACGATTTTATCTCAAGGAGAGAGACTGGAGTGCCACTCGAAATTGTCGACGTACCCATAGAAAATACAGAAAGCCTTTTCATTTTAATTCCCACGAATCGATTCGATATAGTCGATATGCAGATTACGATATTTTGTCAATCCCCGAATTTTGCAGCCTGAACGCTTGTAATAAAAAAATTTTAATTTTTTTTTCCTACGATTAAACTTTTTTTTTGTTAAATTCCTAACGTCCTTTCGTTTCCCCATAAGCGGCCAGCGCAGTGACGCAGTTATTCTTCATGACGATTCTGACGACTTTCTCGAGCTCGCCTACGCGTACAACCCACGTTCATATGTGAAGGCATATATGTTATACGGTGGTACAAGTAGGAATATATGCAGATGACACGAGGAGGACCCTCCTCATTGCCAAAAGCAGTTTAGCAAGCGTGGACTTGGAGGATGCAACAAAGAATTTATCTCTGTGGTTTCATTTGACTCCTACTTGACCGTGAGAAATGCCGAGCGCTCATATGAACCACTGTACGACAAGGAGCCAGTAACGTAGAAGCTGGATGGGAGTCTGGCGCGTAGGTGGTCCATACGGCAGAGAAGTACGGAACGGTGACAGAACGAAATGTCCGCGCCTTAAATGGCCGTATGAGATACCGCGTTCTGGCTGGCAGAGCGCGGATATTTCTACTTGGACATAGCATGCGAATGGGCGAAGTAATATTTTTGAATTAAAAAAAACATGAACTATAAATTTTTTAACTTTGGACCTGACCGGTACAGTCAGATTAACAACCGATCGAATACTGGGAGATAACAAAAAAAAATTCGTCCAAACATATGTTGAAGGTCAAAATTTTTTTTATAAGAAAATTCGTAATTTTGAAAAATTCGTGAATTATCGATAAATAAAAGACGGTCGCAGATACTTTGAATTCGAGTAGTGAAAGGACGTACGTACGCCGACGTCCTGCAGGGAGTTACCGTCCTTCGTGATGCTCCTGAAGGCTGTGAGGAAGGGTAGAGGAACCTGCCACGATAATACCCCCTACAGAGAGACTCGCTCGTGCTTACAAGGGAAAAATTTGCAAGTGAAACAATGGCGGTCACGGGGTAGCTACCTAACCTGTCTACACGAAACACGACCGGCATGAGTTATGTTCTGGCGCCGATCGCGGTTGGTAGAAAAGAAGCAGAGAGAAGTAAGAAGGTATAGGAACTCAGAAAGAAAAAAGAAATCAATGCAAAAGGAAGAAAAAAAAAGAAGCAGACACTCGCGAATCGCAGATTGAAATATAACGTAGCCAAATACGTGCGTACAGCTTGAGTCTCCGAGCGTAGGACGGAATTTATACCGGGAGTCATTGTTCGCTATCGTGGATTCCAAGGAGGACGAAGAAGTTATCCAGTCATTTCGTACCTAACCCAACCCCACCGTTAACCCACGTTAACATATACAGAGCACGTCACGCTTGACTAATCGAGCTTTTCTAGACTTACGTAAATAGTCCAGGGCCTGTCACTCGATACCAAGCAGAATCTTAGATCCTCGAGGATCTTGATTGAGCGATCATGATCGGCCACTTTTCATTCTAGCAAGAAAACAATGCCGACGCCGATACAACAAGACGTCGGTCCGCTTCTGAGTTCGAGTTAAGTAGAATCGAATTTGCCTAAAATCATCGAGTCCGGGCTGTGTCGCGCGCATGCGCAAAGTGGATAAGTCTCGCGAGTGTATTACCATTGAATACCGTGACTCAGGTTACCCTGGCGTACATGCATTAAACATCCTACTAGCGGACAATTCTGAATTATACATCGGCGAGATAGCTCCCTGAGTGGACGCGGATTGTCCTGCTGTTTCTTTGGCGGCGCGGCGCATGCGCAAAGGGCCACGCGATGCGCACTGGGCAGTGCGCAGGTCGCGCGGGAAAAACTCAAGGAAAACTGTTACGGGCATTAACAAACGTATGTTACGCGCGTTCAGAATCGGCGGGAATCCTGTACAATTTGAAATTGACGATTTAAGCTTACGCGGTATGTTAAACCACGTACTCACTCTACTCTCACTAAACCACGTGTTAAACTCTGTGCACGGTCCGGCGGTGCATATGCGGACGAACGCGGATAATAAGAATGCACATTCTTATCCATATTTAGAAGACTCCAAACCCTCCGTTTCGCTCATTCGACTAGTAAACTTCCTCGCGACACACCAGACCTGTCAGCCTAGTGTATTATATATATATATATATAGATGTTAAATTTGTCGTAAGTTACTATGGGGTGAAAAAAATATTACGGTATAACAGTATACTGTTAAATCACTTGTGATAACTATGACGAGAGATTTATTTTGAGATTATAAGTAAATTATGAAATATTATATTCTTACCTTGGACACGGCGGCGCCCAATCCAGCCTGACACGAACCTTGCCTATGGTAACCCCAGTGACCTGAAACGGAAGCGTGCAATTATTCTGTGTCCTTCTTATACGTAGTAGACGAATGAGAACGTCATCCGTCATACCTGGCAGTTATTGAAGGACCATGTAACGGGTGGTCATAAAGTGTCTTTCATGTACGAAAACAAAAAATGGAAATATAAAACTCAAGCTATACTCTGTTCGTGATAATCATTATAACACACTAAATTCTAACGGTTGACTCCAGTCTAATTACGACAACGCGAAATGCCGCGAAATGGTATGTAATTCAAAATTGTCGATCCAATAACTAACGATGACCGTGCGAGTATCGTGAAGTAATCCGCAAGGAAGTCAATACCAAAGCAGATCGTCAAAGACACGTAGCAACGTCTTGCGTTCCCGTCCACGCGTCATTAATCCCGAATCGATCCTCTCCATGACGCCATCATCAATTCTCTACGCTCGATTGCAGATTCCACACGTATATACATATACTCGAAACGAGAAGAAACATTCTCGTTTCTCCTCCCTCGGTAAAAACGAACTTTTTTTTTTGCAAAATTCTATGAAATCAACAACGAGGAAATTGATCATCGTCATTACGCGTAATGACTTCATCCAAACGATTAATTTATTTATTTCACATAATACCATACATATACATTTTCAGTCTTACGAATATCACATGCTTCACCAGTCACTCGATATTTCATCCAGCTTTAATTTTCAGATGGTCCATGGAATCTCGATAAAAAAAAACGTAAATAAAAAAAATACCCCCTGTACCAGGTTAATCGCCGATAAAAATCTAATTTTCTTATCGAAATCAGAGTTTTCATTGTCACCCTCGTTGTGTACCTATTTGTTAACCATCCATATTATCCGATAATTAGTACCTGCTCGAAAGACGTATAAGGTAACGCACTATGGAACGCGACGAATGTACATTGGCGCATTAATAACGTGCGGTTAGGGTCAGTGCCATTCCTGCCATCCGCACTCTCTGCATATTTTCAACACGTACGTCGAATGCCATAAGAAACATATTCCTGTGTGAGTAAGTGGTATCCGGTGCGTTCCCCTACGCATATGCACGCACGTCGGGTCTAAGTCTTCTTCAGGGTGTACGAGTACCAAGAGCACCAAGAGAAACGTCGGCTGGAATGGTTGACGGACCATCAAGCACTTAGTCGAGCTGCCACTCGCCCAATTATATCAATCAGTCTGTGGACGTTATTGAGACGGTCCGAAGGGAGATAAAGAAATAAAAAGAATTATTAAAATTGACCCCCCTATGTTCCCGTACTTTTTCAATCGAACTCGTTACGGTTCCCGATGAAAATGCCTTCGCCGAATTTACTCGAGCGACAATCCTGAATAGATTTAACGAATCGAGAAGCCTGACGAAGGTCTCCCCCTGAGGCCGGATTCACATGTATCGTTCATATGGCGATCTGGCTGACGTTTCGTCGTCTGGACTATTTATGTAGCCCTTCGTAGCTCGTTACTTCAACTTCATGGCTATTCCTGTCGTCGTATTATAAGGGATCCTTGCTCGTGCGTTTTTAAGGTTACGCACGAAATCCCTGACCTATCTCATTCGTATTGTCTTGTACGTCAATCGACGTCTACTTGTTATCAGTGATTGGCACGGCTGTATGGAATATCGATTTAATTCAAATCAATGGACTATTATTATAATGGTGGTAATCACAGACCTGATAACAGAATCATTCGCTGTATTAATGGTGTATCATTTATAACCTGTTAGCGATAACTTTATCGACCATACGTATAATATAAATGGAATTGTATTCGCGATATTATTGAAAAATAGTATATGTTTTCTTCGACTCAATCGAGCGACATTTTATACGTATAGGAAAACGCTTTGGATTGAGTTACGTGTGATTATTATTTGTGACGGGTCACACCCGGTATGTAGGAGATAATGTATTAACCGAGTTACGCGATTATGAATGAAGCTCTTGTTAATCGTAACGCATGGTGACTACCGGATAACGTACATATGTGGTAATTGAACGTGAACGTATGATATTCGAATTTTGTTTTATGAGGTATTATTGATTATTTATTTTTCAAAGGTCATCGATGATGCAGGAAGAAGCGTTGACACGAAATTTTTGAAATCAGCAACTTAATCGTAATTCAAGTAGGATCAAGTGCTAATTGGCCTCGTTAGTACGGCACTGAGTTAGTGCCGCACGACTCTGGCGCCTTTTCATTATTATTTTTATGCACTCGCTATATTTAAACTCCACTGGCCCGTGGGGTGGGTGACCCCTAGAAGCACATAGTGATATACGCGAGCGCTTTCCTGGACGATATTAAATAAATCACGACCGGGAACGGGTGTCCGAATATTTATCACGTGGAGATGTCATCGGTTTGAGATTTCAGAGATAAGGCTGATAAGACATGAAAATTTATTGTTGGGTTAAATTTTCATAAAAATTTGATAAGACCTTTTTCTGTCACTTTGAATTACGTCGTTTAGTCCATTTATTTGGCAACACGCGAAATACAGTGGTTGGACAGTGAAAAAAAAACGTGGGTTGTTTGAAATTTTAAGGAATGGCGAATGTCGATGTATGCCGGTTGAATAATGAAATACTGGATAAAGCAAAAGGGGTCCGTACGCACGTGCGTGATGTGTCTGCAGTCGCGTAACGGATAGCACGTTTATATACGTATAAGAATTTATTGTGACGTGACATTTCGATGCACGTCACAAGGGGGCCAGATATTACGACTTCCCAGTCCTATGTGTTGATAAAGGAGTTGTTCGTTGACGAACTGAATTTCGATTTTGAATTTTCATTAATTTTGCGTGTGAGAATTTTTTGTGTTTTAAAATCTTTGAGCGGGTCCGAAAGGATCTATTAAAGATTTTGTTGCTACGGGGCCCGGGAGTTCCAGCTACGAGCCTGACGGAGCGCTAGTGACACGAAGGAAACATCAGGATCGCGCACGCCCAGGAAAAACAAAGCATGCGGGAAAATCAGCGAGCGTCTTCGCGATTCTGACATCAGAGAAATGATTTATCCGAGGCTGACACTTGTTTTCCTACAAATTATTTAATTGCCTGTGGAATTTACTGGGCGATGAGCTCAGACTGACGTATGATTATTGCTGGTGTAAGTTTCTACGTAAATATTCAGCACGTGTCCAAGGATCGAACGATACCAATAACACCAATAACTTCCACCGAGAATTGTTGTTAAAGTTACGAGGGGGAAAAAAATATCATGAGTATTGATGGTGTCGTTCATCGAGATTCGTAAATCTTGTGCTGCTCGTTAAAGAGCAGTCTGGTAGGTTGCTAATTGCACCTAGGGACTCCCGACTGAATAGTCGCCTTGGGGTACATTTTTTTTTACTCTTATACCTTATCCACTGTAACGGTTTTAACGGTACCGGAAGTATAAATGTCCGCGTGGTAGCAATTAACCCGAGTGACGGAAGTGTCCAGTACGAAATAGGAAAAAAAGTGCTTCCAAGTAATCGGGGAGGAGTTTCAACCGTCTGACAGTCAAAGAGCAGCCTAACCTAACATCAGAGAAAAGTCGAAGGTCTTTAGAAGTTTGAATACCGATCGAATTGCAGGGTCCTCGCTGGGTTCGTTAGCGTCGAATTACCCTCGTGAAACCATTGACCGGATGCCAAAAGTAATTTTCCTCCAAGATGAAAAAAAGGTCACCGACAAAGAAAACATCCTCCTTCCGCAAGACTTCGACGTCGGAAGCTGCTCCCGGCGTTACGTATAGGGGAGAACGGAGTAAGTGAGGACGGGAAGAAAAAAAAAGAAGGAAGAAAAATAACAAAGTATCAGAAAAAATGTGGAAGTAAAAAAAAAGAGTGTCTGCTCGAAATTCAAAAACCAGCCGTACGCCCAGTAGCGCATGTTACTTATGTCCTACAGGCCGAAAAGGTCTGATATGACGTCGTCGACAATGTGGGAGGGCCCAAAAAAGATTCCGGAGCGTGAATGGGCCCGATAACAACATCCTAACAGCAGAACCAGACATTCGACCTGATAACGCCTGCTACGATAACAGTGAAAGATGGTCCAGTCGCAGGTGGCCATGCACTGTCACTGTCGAAACAATAAAAAGCCCATATTGATATTGAAACCACCAAGGTACCAACGAGACTGAAAATAAGGCCCAATAGTAATATGAATAACAAGCCAAGAAACAGACAGACGTTAGTACGACAGGAAATAGACTCTTAAATGCCTTAAGACTTTTTTTTTTAAAACTCCCATATATTATCATCCGTTTACCTACATTTACAGTGCACAACTGCAAGGATAACCATACGTCGAAAATCCTAAGTTCAAGTGGACCTCAAGAGGTTCCGTGTCGAATCGTCTACGAAAGCGCCTCGAGGCCCCTGCCCGACGGTCCCTGGAACGAATTGTTTACTCCAAGCAGTATCTACGAATGCCGACATATTTATGCGCCAAGTCAGAGCTTTGACGTGATTCTAGCCAGACGAAAATGTTTCGAATCTTTCCTCGCTGTCGTGACCTGCAGAATAAACCAGCGTCTGGGACCACCTTCCTTGTGTATACTTGGTTAAAATAGGTGCAAGTCTCGCGCTGCACGCGATAAATACACCGCCAGAAATAAAATCTATTTAAAAAAGATTAAGTCATACAATAATAAGACTGACCACCGTAGCTATGCGTAAGCACTGGATAACAGTAATTTTTATCGCTCGATATCCGAGAATGTACATTGTAATACACTGTAGATCAAACTACATGTATGCATTGAGGTTGTGACTGGGAAAACGTATAATGTTCTTGCTGATTCTCGTTTATATATCTATATATACATATATTGAACTTACTCGTTCGGCACGGAGAATATTCGAAGGAGTTCGTGAAGTTCGTGATCCAGCAGGTGCCCACCGGTTCCCTCATGGTTATCTTCCTGGAGAACCATATGTACCTCGGTGCGCAGGCCTGAGAAATGAAAGCACAGGTTATTAATAACTGGTCCCTTGTAATTAATCCGCTTTGTTAGGAATACCCAACGTAGATAAATATGGGCCAGCGAGAAGACCCATCCCGTTTTGGGCCTTGACTTTGCATACGTTAACCGAGTGAGTCGTTTAAATGGCATTTTCGAGCTTTTTGTTAACGTCAATAAGTTCAGTACGAATGCCGTAAATGGACTTTATTGTTATATGCGATTGCGTAACGCGGTCGAATCATTTAACAGACAGTCTAGTTTAGAGTTGACGTAATCATTGATAAATATATGCGACGTCAAGAGTGTATTAAAAAAAAAAATAACAAATTGATTAAAACATCATTTAGCGTAAGGATAGTCGATACAATTTTTATTAAAAATATGGGAGGAGTCGGCATCGAATTATCCTGACCATTGGAGCTCGGCTAATGGTATCGTGTGACCTATGACCCTAATTACGGACTCTCCATTTACACACGACGATCCGATTACGATCGGCTTCCGATTGACAAATTTTCTTAATCGGAGCGTGACGTCACGGCCGAGTCACCGTTAGAAATTAGTGACTACGTTTCTCACGGTACGAGTCCATTTTTTTTAATCACACACCAGCGAGTAAAGTATCAAAAGAATTTTGTAGTTCCGAGATAAGGAGCGAGGGTCAACGAAGAAAATTATTGTGCAATTAACTCGTGAGGTTGATTGCCGCGAAACGTACTGTTACGATTGTCAGCCATTATTATGGCAGTCGTACGTGCGCATGCGCAGTTGCCTCGCACTGAGAACGCACTGTTGTCTTATTGTTGCAGTCGTTCTAATTGCCGTGAAGCTGGAGCAAGATAGGTGAAGACAATTTGAGAAGGTGAATCCCCTTAGTTATATCTGAATTAAAAATTATAAAAATCTTTATACCAATGATTGGAGCAAAGTGGCACAAGCAAGAGAGCGTTACTGATAAGAGTGATAAGTGATAAGCGTCAGCGGGTGCGTCAGATGCTAAGAGTAGCGAGAAACGAGCATGAACTAAGTTCACAGAAGTGTCAAGTTTAAGGCTCCAGTGCTGCCAACCCCATAGCCATCGACACTCACTCGAGACACGCATCAACAAGGAAGCCATGATAAGCCTAAGGGATGTTAAGGGGAAAGAAAGTGAGTGTCTTAAAGTGGTGCGGAGTTAAGCTCGAGGCTGAGAATTCACGTAGTGGATGGATGGTGCAGTCGTTCGCTCCAGCCTCTTGCTTAAGGAGGGTCCAGCCATGAGAGCAGGGAGGGAGAGGGAACGAGAGAGAAAAAGAAGTATGGGAGCAGCGCAATTTATCCATTGAACCAGTTGAGGTTTAATGGTTCAAGGATAAGCTGAGAAGTCTTCGGAGTTATTGTTGCAATTAAATAAACGGAATGTAGGAATGTACGCGGATGACCAGAAAGCTGTCATCGGCGCGACCACGCGATACGATAGTAGTACAGTAAGAGGGATCATGGTGTATTAAAAGATCAAGACGGATTTGGTAAAAGTTATATAGTAGCAATGCCTGCATGCTGTATGTATATACTGATGTATAGCATAATGTATATAGCAGCGCGAACAGCTGGCGCGAATGAGCCAAACGGGAATTAAATGTCTGGAAATAAATCGATTGGCCTGTCAAATTTGACACGCGGGCAGCTGACTAGCTGAAGTCCCCGAGGGTGTCGCGTAGAAGCGTGACGCGCACGTACGAGTGCGTAATGTGTGTATATATGAAGATTAAGAGTGAGAAAAGATCGAGGGGAGGCGAAGCGATTGCGACTGGAATTATGGAAGCAAGTGTCGACGTCGCGTCCCAAGGCGTCGGTATGGTCGAGTATTTTGTTTTGTAAACTTGGCTTATTTGTGTCTTGAAACGTTTCATTAGATCGGATATTACGGTCGGATGAGAAAAGGGAAATTTTGGAAATTTTCGCCCAACGGTTGTTTTTGAAAATTTAAATACACTGTTTTTTAATCATTTGGTTAATGACTAGTTTTTTTTTTGGCATTGTCTAACTCCTGGTCCAGTCTAGCGATTTCTTTTGTTCGCGCATGCGCACACTCGTATTCTTTAGCAGTGCAGGAACATTGAGCACGGGAGACAGCTGCTAAATAACCCGGCGGTGTTTTTTAACAGCGCGAAACGTCAGGACCTACTCCTGACATTAACGTGTATTGCTTTACGGTTAAAAATAAATTGACGCCTTTTAACGTTCCACCGTGGCAGACCGTTAAACGACTTACGGGGCGTTACGATTGCTGCCGAATTTTATGGCAAGGATTGGCCCGCGGCAAGTCGCCCCTCTATGGTAGCGAGATCGTAAAACCCTTCTCCATTGAACTTTATTGTTTCGTGTATAACGTGAATGGACGCGGGTGATTGGCTGTTACTGGCGTCAAGTGACTACTTGTCAAAAGTACAATTCATTTGATCAAGGTATGTGTACGAGTATCGAGAATGTTTTAGGTTATCTATGGGTTGTTAAAAAAAATATAAAAAAAAAAACCCTAACGGATAAGTTCAGCGAGCAGCAAAATAAACTCGGAACAAAACCTTCTCACTATCTTAGCATGGAGCGATTATACGAGGAAAACCAAAGTTATTTCGAGCTGCTCGAATGAGGTCATCGCGGGTCGGTTGCAACCAGCTCGGCTTCTCGTTTGGCTTGACTGTTTCACCCGGTTGACAATTTTCTTCAAAAACAAATCCTAATTTCACCGAGACCACTGCTCGTGGTTCTATTTAAATGTAGGTTACGAGTGGCGCCCCGGGATGATGTAAGATTGCCAAATCCATCCCGGCCGGGTTAACTATCGGCCGCTGGACAAACTCGTGCTGAGAATCGTATCCGAAAACTCCGAGGACGAGTGGTGCTCGAAAGAGAAGTAACAGCGAGCGAAATGTAACGTTGGCGGAACGAAACGGCCTGGTAATGACCAGTCATAAAGATCTGAAGGGGCATCCACACGTGAGGGTACTACGTGAGACATTTTATTTATTCTCGAATGAATTTAACGGCCCTCCTAAAGGCCCAGGATGTTCTGTCGCGGTCCGCGAAGGCCTTAGAACCATCGACGGACGGACGAGGGGATGAATGGGCGGATGGACGGACACAAGGACAGATCGATGGATGGACGGTAGAAATAATCCTCGGTCTACGATAACACGCTACGATAACTCCTTACGGAATGTTTTTATAAAGGACAGAAACGGCATGCTGAATATAATGCGACGGACTCTAGCATAAACTGTCGGCAACTCAATTTACTCTCTCGTATTGTGTATTCTTGACTTTAACTCTCATCCACGGGCACGATCTCCCCTGAAATTTCTCATGACTCGTATCGACGTCGACATTTGTTTAGTAACGGCCGAGACAATTTTTAGCCAGCGTGCACGGCGCCTGCACCTACGGAAGATGGCGGGTTTGCCGTAATCGTAGAATCAATTGTATACATTTACTTTATGGATGCGCACACCCGTCCGCTACACGTGTATTACATTTCTTCATTCCATCCCGTACCCTACAGATACAGTGGTAAATTCGCAAACAGCTTTTTTCTTCCTCCTTTAAACGTATCAATTTCTACTCGTTTAATTTCGTACCTCGGTCTCCCTCAGTTCGACGATCACGAGCGAGCGCAGAGTCCTTGTAAATGATCTTCGCGACAAAAGAAAAATAAAAAAAACAGCCAGCCCGGGTGCTGTCAAGTATTTTGATCGCGGACCGTGGCTAAGATTACTCGTGAAAAAGAAGAAGTGAAATGGTGGTTACGTCAGCAGGGAGGTTGATGAACAGTGTGGAGACGTTGCGTTAGTTTGGAGGTTGACTCACCTACCGGGTACTGAGTCAGAGAGATATTTATAAATCACCGTTTCTCAAAGGGTGCTACCATGGGGTGTATACAGTATCGTATACAATAGTATATATACGTATGACTGTCTATTAGTTTTTAATTAATGTATTTCCGCCTGGATATTACCATCCGGATATATCAACGTTTGCTTGACACGTACTGGCTGTCCGTGTCCACAGAATATACAAAGGGTAAATAGCCATTGTACCGTATACCGTTGCTACTGCAACACGATAATATTAAAAGTCTATATAATCAGTTTGTGCATGTGTACCGCAACGTGTCTAGTCTAGATAACTCCCAGCTTTATTTACAGAGATAACAAGTACGGTCCTAGATGTAAAGGGTGGGAGTTAATTAGAGGGTGAAATTTTTTCTTTCGCTTACAAGAAAAACAGACCACAGTACGACTTCTGTAGAAAGGATGGCTGATTCAGTGTCTGGTGCTCTGATCGTATTTTTTTTTTTTTTTCTTGCACTTTGCCGCACTGACAACGAAGTACTAAGTGAGAAGATCCTTGGCGTTTAACGAGGGCAAAGTAATTCCACGTTTTGCGACAATGAAGCACCAGCGCTCTTGCTTGGGGTTCATTGTCGCGGTATATATGAAAAGACTATAGCGGGACACCACGAAGTGGCTCGGCTATAGTTCGTACGAGCGCGAGGGCCCGCAGCGGCAAGTAGGTGGGGACGCTAAGGCGTCGTCGCAAAAAGGCGCCGTTTAGCGAGCGTCGCAATTTGTCCCGTCGGCAAAACACCCGCGCGGAATGTGCATTGTCTTCGGGGTCGGATAATCCTTTGGCTGGGAGAGGGAGAGAGAGAGAGATAGAGAATCGACAAGAAATTGCGGAATCCAAGATTAAAAAATAATTCAGCACTGATTCAACCTTTAAATATTTAATTTGACCAAACGGATCTGACGGAACGGCTGATTCACCCGGAGAACCTGAGTAATAAGAAATGGTCCTACAAGAGGATGAAGCGGTGCGTGGAAGAGGAGCGGTAAAAAGAAAAGGCAAGATTATCAGTCTCAAACAAGGATCCGCTCTCAGGCCAGGTCGTTGGGGTCGTGGCGATTGTTCCTGGAGTTCGACTTCGGCGCGGGCCTCGTCGTTCGTACGGCCGTTTTAATCGATGCGTTACCGGCGAACGACAATGCCTCTCTCGAGGACGTCCGACGGCGAAGAGAGTGCCGCCAGCCGGCAGAAGGTTTTATCGGGAGGACGCGTATATTTTACTGGCGATTGTTCCTCCGCCAGGAGTCCGGGACTCCTTGGAGTGGCTGCTCCTCGTAGAGGTAGGCATGGGGCTCTACCCCGATTCTCCTTTTCTTCTCTTTGCGGGCTTGTATAGGGAGCTCGCACTTATCTCTCTCTTTTTCCTTACTCCATTATTCCTTTTGTCTTTACTCTTCGTCGACATGGCTCCTTTCCACGCCACGATTGTTCGACGATCCATACGCAACGGCGGGAATATTTAAAGGCACGTTAACGCGCTTCCTGTATATACTCCGAGTACTACCGATATCGCCCAGCTATACGGACTTGCCCTAAGGCCCCACTCTGGATTTATCGACTCTTCCGTGACTCTAGCAACCCCCTTTCTCTTACTTCTCCACCGTTCCTACCTCTTCTCTTTACTATTCCCTCGCGCTTCTTTTATTCTTCGGCCGAACACGACAAATTGCTCGTGTCGGCCGATTCCGCGAGCGATAAATTCGCGCGATGCGGTCTTGTTGGGTTGTTTTTTTTTTTTTCCTTTTGTTTTTTCTTTATTTCGGACTTGCCGAGATGCCAGGACCATTTCGGGGAATTCCCGTGGGATCTACAGCCTTCGCAAGGACTCGTCTTTTCGGTATCGCCGTTTACAATGGAGCGACGGGAGACGTCTACGCTTCGTGATCTATACGTGTCGTGTCGACCGGAGGACAAGGTGGATTCTTATAGATGTCCTGGATACACACACGTGGGTCAGCGTGAACGACTTTAACGCGAGTGCCAATAAATATACTCTAAGGAGACGTAGGACGGAAAAATTAATATTGCACGTGATACGTGTTGCGATTTTCAACTGCCGTATCAGTACTACGAGACTGACATTGCAAAACGTGATGCGAATAATCGCATACAAGGCAATCCTGCGTTTTGCATTGTTAGAGATTCGCCAGCATATATATATGTACAAGCGATACCGCATACCGTGTAAATGGAAGCTTCGGTCGATTAAAGTAAAGAGAGCAGAAGCAACTATCGTATTCATATTTAAAGAAGTACACGGTATAACCGATATATATGAAAGGTACAATATGGGTAAGAAAAAAAAAAAATTTTTTAAATTAATAATTTATAAAATTTTCATAAAATATAAAAAAAAGCAATAGCGTTACCTCTTCCGAAAGTTTTGTCGAATTGGCTTTTCGCTTCGAAAGAGAGAAAGAACGAACGGGGCAAGCACCGAAGAAAACAATCAAGTCGCATACATGAGAATGTGCATTCGCATTCTGGAGTAAGTAGATAATTCCAACATTACTACGTAGAGAATGTCGTCCCTGATCACTCAGCTGATGACTCGCAATGCGAAATTACAAAAGTACCCGTATCCCTATGAAAAATCCATAATGGCGCTTAAACCTTCAGCTTGAGGTTACATGCATACTCGCCGCGTCCAAATGATTCGACCTATTTAATTTTTACCTCTATAAATACTATGGCGTAAGAAAAAACAATTTTCATCAATCCTTGCCACGTTACCTTTCTTGTATGTCCGGACACACCGGCCAATTCGATTGACTTATATAATGTATTCTAGATACAGGCGGGCTGCAGCCGCCAAAAGAATTCAGCAAACCAGAGGCGGATTCGTTCAATCTTTTCTTTCCTCCAGCGTAAAACGCACCGCATGCGACTACCGCAGTGGCGCGTGATGTGCATACACGCCGGATTTTATTCGCAGACACGCAGCTGGGCATCCCCGTCCGTGTACGCGCACCACGCGTACGGTTCGTGTAGTTGCATGTAAACGCACGAGCGCCCATAAAGATAGATAAGGGCGGCAATACATCATAGGCACCGCGACGGTTGGCCGCATTCGACCAGAAGCCCAAGACTCCAGGAAGGGCAAAGATCCTCGCGTTGGATTGGTATCCAGACAGGACGTTAATGAGAATTTAGAAAGCCTGAACGCTTAGACAAAAACTAGTGAAAATATCAGTATGAATTATTCGAGACGTTGGCGCGTTGACCTATGACCTTTGTATAAATCGTGCATTACTTTCTGGCACGAGAAAAATTTTACTGCATTTCTTCATTCCTCTACGATCGACTTTCCTCTCATTCGCGATAAGGGCAGATGATAAATTTTCGTAAACCTTGCTGGTGCAGAAGTCCCACGAGCTTTCGAGACTTCGGCAAAGTCTTTGGGATTCTGCTTGTTTTCAAATCCTGAAATAGAATGGCCGCACCAGGGACACGTGTCTCGTGTGTTCGTTACAAAGCTACCCTAATGATACTGGGAATTGAATGAGACGTAGAACTCGTGATTCCTCATTTCACGTAGTTATTTTCTTAACTTTTGGGTAAATATGAAAATTTTGAAAGTCATTCGTTTTCGGCGGAATAAAAAAAAAAATTTTTTTTACAACTCTCATTCGGTCTAGATTCATCGAATACAAATTGGATCCAGCGTACGCGCGCTTCATTTTTCTCATACGTTCTGTTTCGGAAGCTGTTTGCTTTTTTTTCAAAAGAATGTATATTTTTTTAGCAGCCCATCAGACTCAATTTTCGCAACTGCCTAGTGTTCGTAGGTCCGTGCCAGCTTAAGAAGAAAAAAAAGCAGGCAATACAATTTGACCTCGACAAAATTATTTTACCTAATGAATAACCAAAAGAAAAAAAAAACAAAGAATCTTACCAAAAGTGGTCCTCCATCCTTGTGCGAAGATGAAACTGTCGCGCCAAACCACTGCAAGGTTTTATTGTCAATTTGAACATAGGGGTTGGTGTTGTAGTTGTTTCCTGCAACCGGAATAGGATTCATGTTTGTCATCACGGCGATTACAGCTTCCTGTCCTAACGATACTGTCGGGACCTAATCAGTTTTCCCTACTTAATTGCGCCTCTCGATTCTTCGTGTTAACGACCACGAATACGACTTTCCCATTGTTATTATTATTATACAACCGATGTAAATCGATATAACGATTGTTCGTCAATTTTCATACCCAAACGCGAAACATTGTAAACTCACTCTCGAGTATCCCGTATAACAAGTATAGACATCTTACAGCTTCACTACTTTACTAGGGAGTAACCTAATATGTCTCTGGATGAGGTGGCAGCCTGCGGAATGGAATAGGACTTGATGGAAGGACGAGTTCCCGCAATTGCTGCACCTGGTGATCCACCACGGTTTCTAATACCACTGGGAAAACAAGCCATAGTAATACCAGCCAAGGAATAGGGCTCCATTCACGTGATGCAATTTACTACATACATATGTTCCGCGGATGGAAATGCATCCCGGTAAGTCTGAAGTACGTAGGCACGAGGGAAAAAAAAAATTAGTCCGGCCTATCACATATAAAATTACACGGTAATCTCCGAAAATAAAATTCTATAACCCGTACGCAATAAATCCGCAAAGCTGTTACAAAATGGTCTGCCGTATAATTTAAATATATTATTTACATTGATCGTGCTAAGAAAATACCGGAAGCGTCCAGTGCCACGCGAATGCATCACGATGCAACGTTCGCCATTTCTTATTCGGATTTTCGTTCCATTGTGGGTAACAGAATGAACCCGTTACCCGTATCGGTCAAGAGTTTCCCGTAAAGGGCGACGATATAGCCAGACTACAGGAGCGGTACCACCGGTACCAATGCTTCTGCAGCCACTGGTACCAGCGGTACCAACCGTTCTGGAGGGCAGATGAGTTAGCGGAGGCTGTCCAGAGTGTACAACCAAGCAGGCAGGGCATGTCATACGGACATACGGTTTTCTGTATTAGGCAGTGCCGGTTCTTGTCAACGATTCCAAGGAGTTTTCTCGCTTTCTCTCTCTCGCTCTTTCCCCGGACCGAACTGCATCCTCCAGCACGGTCAGCAGGAGGACCTGGTCCCCCTCGTCTACTTCGCGTAAGCTGAGAAGTGAGTGACCTCTAAGGCCACGAGGTTGCGCTTCCTCGTACGAGAATTGAATGACAATTGTGAACTATCTTCTTGGATAAGAAAAGCAAAAGATTCACGCATCCACGATTAAACGATATCAAATCAATAAGATTTACAGGCATGCCATTCTTAAGCTTGAGTCAAATTAAATTTTTCGTTTCGAGACTCAACAATTTTTAAACATTTTTTCAATTCATTTTTTTTCGTATCATCGGACTACAATTTTTTTATTCGACGCGACGGTCACGTAATCCCATGATGCAGTCGCCTTTCGAACGAGCACGACGTGTTGTAGTTATTTTTGAGGATGACTGTTTATAGAAGGTCCGCACTGTATAATTCTGGGTGGTGGCTAACTCACCACTATTTTAAACCAGCTGCAGGTTGAGTAACGAGCCTAACCACGGATGGCAATGCAGAATATATAACTCAGGTATTTTCTTACGGACTTATAACCAGGTACATTACGTATCCACTTTCCCTACTTTGCGTGCACAGTGGTACTAGTACTAACAGCAGACACGATATACAAAGTTGAAATGTTTTTTTTTTCAAAATTTTAATAAAGGCTTGCGACCACTTCTCATTCTAAAGAAAATTACGTACGCTATAATAATTTCTTGTCCCTCGTTTATTCTCTTGGTTTCTACCCCGCCCCCCTGCCCACTTCGTACCATGGCTTTCCTCATTTTATTCTACACAAATAAATTCCCCTGTATCCGCCACTCAAGTTTCTCCTAGAACCCAACTGCCGGATACCGAATGCCACGCTACAGTGTATTAATTGGCAGCAAGCATTTATTTACATCTGCAACGCGATCGTCCTCGTGTTCAGCACCCAAGTTCGCCAGCCTGCAGTCGTTCTAATTGGACAAGAATCAGCCGGTGAGCTGCATCCGCTAATTACTGATCAAAGAGAATCGACACACCTGCACACCAATTAGCAGTCGGAGCTACCAGCGGGATTGTGTAACTGATGTTTAATTAATTGAGAAATAAAAAAAAATAAACAAAGTACCGTCATATACCCACTGTACAAAACGAAGCCTGAAAATTCCCATGACACCAGACGGTCATTTTTCTTTGAAGAAAACACTCCGCCGGAAGTCCGTCCACGCATACGTGTATAGGATATTGTGCCACGTGAAAGGAGCCGTGAAAATATAAAACGATAAATGAAAGGGTCAACGACAGAGCTATAAAGTTATTAAAAATAGCTTCAGCGTTAGAAAGGGAATAGAGCTGTGCCTCCTAAAGATTATCGGGCTCTTCTAGGGCCTCCAGCGTGAATATGGGTCAGCCCGCCATAAGCAGACGCGTTTCGTAATACACGGACGAGCCCTTGTTAGCGCTGCTAAAACTGTCAGGATAAGGATGAGCCCTGTGGCAGTAAGGAGGAGCAAGAGTATCAGCCTGCCCCGGATGATGGTTCCCTATGCGTCTCTATAGGGCTTAGCCGAGCCAACGGACCAAACGTAATCTTGTTTAGTCTACTTTGATATAAAAAGAAAGACAAAGTAGCACCAGCCGTTCTACGGATTAGCAGGAGTCACCGTTAACAAGGTTATGTCGTTAAAAGGCAATGAACGTATGTTGCGTTCCTTGAAAAATTATTCATTAAAAAAAAAAATGTAAAAAAAGGAGTGCCATGTAGTTCTGAGAAATACGTATGATTCCCGATCCCATTATCCGAATGGTCGGAGACGTTCTCTTAAAGTGATGACGTGGACGATGACGTCACTACAGAATTGTCCAAGCCAATATTCATACGGTCGGACCGATTGCGTAAAAAAAAAAATTTTCTCCAAGGTGGTTCACTGTGCTATGTATTATGGTATTGGTAGTAGATAGGCTTATTATGATCGATTTACCACTCCTATCGAAATCGATCTGGACGCATCGATTGTCGGCCATGATGTCGCATTTGTAGACAGCGCCACCGCGATATACGTCCCTCTGTGACGTTTGTGCTTCCGGTGCTCCGACAATTACCCTGAAAAAAGAAAGAAAAAACAGACTGGTCATTAAGTTTCCCACGGAGTAGACTGAGAAAACATCGCTATATTTAGGACGAGTCTATAGCTACGGATCAAAGAGGTTATCAGGTTATATCGACGGCTTATCGACGGAGTCAAACGAAATGAGGGCAGTCCAAAATTTTTTTTTCAAATCCGGATCAGGTCCGTTTACAGGTCAATTTTCGTTTCCTACGATAAAAAATTATTTCGATAAACAGTGCTTATTATGTACAGTAAGTATTTCCGATGAATATTTTTCCAAAATATTCATTGGAAATAAATATCAGTAATGCAACGAGTATCTTGCAGTTTTAATGGATTATTAATATAGTGACAGGCAATGGCGATTTCGACGCCTTTAATTTATTTAATGATCCCTGTGAACTCGCGTTAAATTGCCCATTACCTTTATTGACTTAAAGGTATGAATTTTCGTTTATTTTTCTTCCTTTTTTTTTTCACAGGGCCCTCCTATCGTTTCGATGCCGAGGCTATTACAAGGATTGGATTCGTGGCAGGGATTAATGTAGTCTCTAATCGTACGTTCACATATGTATAGTGAATGCATATATATATATATATATATATATATATATATATAGTACTGTAGATACAAGAATTTTGCCAGGTCATCATAATGCGTAAAGGGTGTGTCTGAAAAGTGAGTTCGATATATTTCTAATTTGTTTTTTCTTATCACTGTAATCTACAACCCATCAGCTACGTGTATCGGTTTCCTCTCGTATGAACTCTTGCGAAAGGACAATAGAACTAAAAGCCAGGTGAGATTCCTGTCTACTTTAGGAAATGATAAAAGGTCCATCAAAACGTCTAGAGTAGGATAGTTCTCTCGGATAAAAAAAAATGATTTTCGGATATTGCAACACTCAGCCTGCCTTTCCTTTACATGACGTTGACTAACGACATCTGTCGTCTAAATAATCATACTCGAATAACGCTATCAACATAAAGTATCATCCGACATACACAAATCGGTCGAAATATTATTCCACGTATAAAATAATCGGATTAACCTTTTGAACTTCGAAAATAAAATCTGTTGAATTTTTCGATATTACGTCCGATTTGAGATAATTTCGCGTTTCGTCGCCATTTTTTCACGTAATAGTTTTGTCCTGAACGCCACAAAAATCTTTCCGACATTGTCAACCTTGACATACTGTAGCCACTCAGGGACAGCTGAGTGCCTAGAATGTTGTCTAGACATATATTCTAGTTCCACAATCCTCCGCCAGGCTATGGCGTATTCGCGTATGCATACACGCGTATGCATATACCTGTATAAGATATTATGTAAGTCACTGATCCACCAGAGTAAACGGATCGCACGGATACTAAGTGTACTGTCTGACGGAACCTTGAATTCATAGAATATCATAACGATTATTACAGCTGCTGTGTAATTATTACACGATTGACAAGCAACGCCATGAAGATTGCTACAATGACGCTAAGTATCAATGCCCACTGATTAATTTATCCATCTTACGAACTATACCATGTATATACAATCGCGCCGGTATACATATCAATTCTACGTGGGACGATGCCAAACACCACTGCCGTCGTTTTCGCCCACCAAGCAATTGCCGTTCTGTGTAACCGTGTAAAATTATCATCATTGCGTGAAACACTCGAATGACGATGCATGGGCGAAACCGGTCCCTGTGAACGTCATACGTCGGACATAGATATTCGCTTAAGCGCGATTGGTATACCTGCATTCGGAAGGTGCATTATAATATGCATTCTTTTAGCGCCATATACGAATCAAACATGGCGTCCTAACCCACGTGACGCTTTGACGTTACTAACCTTTTTCGTATAAGCGCAGAATGCACGTAAACAATATATATATATACTACAAGATAAATAATACGACACTATGCTAACCACACCGATAAATAAACGTCATGGTCCTTTCTCCGTACATAAAAGTCCGTTAGGTTAGTCATTGAAATGGTCGTGTATCTTAACGTAGCGCCATTTTACGTGACTCGTACAAAAGAGAGCGCGCGTCGTATTGACTTATTACAACGCAATTCACGACAGTGCCGCACTTATAATTCCTTATTCGGCGGAATCGCGCTGCTGCCATCTCTCCAGGGCGACACCGTACTTGGCGAATTGCTCAATGCCAACGTCTCGTTTCGCCGCGCCAATCGCTAGTTCCAATCGGCTGCTGCTTTTACGTTTCGAATATCCCGCGCGTGCAATACGAAAGATCCCGGCATCCCTTGCTGACAAATTTATATCAGAGGATTCCCATCGTGACTGACGAGTTCCGCGCGGCAGACAGTTGCTCGTAGGAATACCTACATGAAATACGTATCCAAAAAATTCAAATGAATTTCAAAATGGCCGCCACAAGTATTCCGTGAATAATTTCGGCTCTTAATCGACTGCGATAATAAATATCAGTTATTCGTCTCGATCTACCGTCACTTAGTTTACCCGTGGGTGGTATCCATGTCGTGCTTGAACCTAACCTAACCCGGCAACGTGTCTTAATCCACACCTGAACCGACTTGTAACTCGATGTGTAGACGCGTTAGCGTGCGTGCGTGCGTGCACAATGTGGTAGTCGATGACGTAACGTCAACGGAGGCGTGCGTGTATCGTCAAGTCTCCGTTACTTTATAAGGAGCACTGAATTCACGCAGACTATCGTTGCTTTCACTGTAGCGAACCTGTGAACGACGCCGTACGGATATTTCGTAAAGATCGGCCAGCTCCGTCCTTTAACGTTACAAACGTATACGGAGGGTAAGCGGTGAGAAAATATTTCCGGTTTTATTCAATGCCTAAGATTTAACGTTAATCTTCAAAGCGAACACTTTCAAAAGCGACATGTGTGTCGAACGGTCAGACCGTCGCCCATGTGGGCGCCAGGCGTTGCGAAAGTCAGGGCAGCCACAACGCGTTGGTCGAAGTCGTATAAAAGTCGTAGGACAACCTGATGGCGGAGAATCGAACAGCTGTAGAGAAGTAATTCCGGATGCACGAATGTTCGAATAGTTTCCTCATAGCTGTGGAAGGAAACTACCAGCTTTTTATATGCATACGCTGTACATTTTTTTCCAGTAAACTGCAGTGGCTATCTATTCCTAGAACAAGCCAAGGAGATACATAACCAATGTTTATCTAGATAGTCCATAAGTGGTCTTGTCGTGTGTATATTAATTTTATGTATTTAATTCCAATAAATCTCGATTGTTCTATCCAGGATAGTGATACAATGACCCAGTTTAAAACCTGATGCTATTGCACGTGGAGGATACATTGCATAACGTGATACACAAGTAACCATCGTCAATTTATTTATCGTACTAGGTCCAAAGACTATGTCTGCTTTCTAGTACATATAACGCATAATGCGAGTGTTATGATTCAATAGCAGACATGTAAACAGCCCTTGAGATTGTCTTTTTAAAACAATTTCTCCCTGTGAGGTACACGCGTACGTAAACGTTAGCACGTACTGACGTGAAGCACGTGCCTGATGCAATATGGCGGGTGATTTGAAAGTGAAAGAAAAAAAGACATGGGAACACGTGTGAACGTTGCAACGGGACAGAATGCAATTTACGAATATATATAAGACTAAGAAAAAACGATACTTAAAAAAGAAACGTCAGATAATAGAGGGTGAATTGACATCAGGACTCTGACATATGGCAGGCTTGAATTCACGTGAACTTCCGTTAGGTTAAGTCAGGTTAGGTTGGAACGGATCGATTTCGATTTCCTTCCACGAAAGAAGTCTACCTTTAAGAATATACTTACCATCGGGGCATCTATACAGCTTAGTTCATTCGTGCATTCCGCGAATGGCCAGGAACTTCCTTTTACATGTACTACCGCGAACTCTAATGCCGAATAAGGATAGAGATAATGTCATACGAGATTTTTAATGTAAGACGCGTCATCAACCAGTGTAACGCGAAATGATAATACAATCGCGAGTAAGGACGTTCACATTTCACGTATGCGGTTCGCGTAATGAAATAATGAAATAGAATTAGTAGTATACATAAAAAAAAGCAATTTTTAAAAATTTTTTCAAATTAAACAAAACGAACTGAAATTCTTTTATTATGCTGTTTCGTATATTGTGCAATTTCCTAGAAACTGATTTTCAATCGTGAATGAACAGTGTCATATATACATAGACTCGTTTACGTTACGCATGGCGCCTAGTGGAATTTTGTACACGTACGATTACGTCATCTTTCTCAAGATCATCCCGCAGATTGTGTATTATTTACGAAGAGGCCATTAATGGCTCGAGTTAGCACGCAGTCTAAATTTAGATATTATGCTGCACGTCATCTTATCAACGTTATCACCGGTCAAGACATTTGTGCACGCATTTATTAAAAGCGTACTTACTTGTTTTATTGTCGCTCTCTATATCTCTGGATGCTTGCAAAATATAGTTTCCTTTTTTATTAATAAAATTTTTCGTTCGCGCAACTCCAAAGACTGCTGAAACAAAGCCATCGGAGTTGCAAAAAATGCCCGAGGCTGTTGCCTCTTCCGGATAACGACGGCTGCGGGCACGTGTCTCACGCGATCCTCATTATCCGGCACTCGTGGAAGTGCCCTTTATCTTTTTACCTCGTTTTTACTTTTATTTGTTGGAATCCTCATTTGTAATGCGCTACTCGCATTGTCGAGAGATAAAAAAAGAAATAGTGCATGGAAGAAGAAAAAGAAACGTGGCGCCATGAATAAAACGATTACTCACGGATAACGCAGTTTTATTATATACATATATGTTTACACCAGTGAAATATTCAAAAACCGGTCCGAATACTCGCTTCTATCGGTATCCATATTCATTGCCAACCGAAAGCTAATTCACAATCAATTCCAAGGTGTGTCCCGATCTAATACAACAAGACTGTAGATAGACACGCGGCATGAGGTGGGCGACAGGAAACGCGTAATGCAAACGAATGGCAAAATAACGAATGGCTATGAACGCGGCATAATTCAACGAGAGGTCAAAATCAATGTTGATCAGCAGCTTCGTAGGGTTACTGGTACGATAGTTTAAACTCGATTCACACAAGCCGCGTGACGTCACTCGATATTATCTCAGCTAATTGCCGTCTGGTACGAAGAGAACAAGCTTACCGAACATACGTGTGATATAGGCTTTAGTCAACTTTTTTCCTCGTCGAATTCCTCTACCAAGAGGTATTGTTAAGAGTCATATAAATTTTTATCGATACACCTTTTTTTATAGTACCATATATTCCAATAGTTTAGAATATTCGTACAGGTATCGATGAAAGTTATGACAGATGGTACTTAGTTTAAAATGACTAATTATAGTTGGAGCGGGTTTTCGGAAAAATGAAGAAGATGGTAAACGGGTCCTAAGAGTACTTAGATATTGATCTGACTGATTGTTTCGGAAAAAGGTACACCGCTGTACGGGTCTTGGTTATCCTGGAGCTAGTACTGTGTTTCTAGACCTCGTTATCCCGCAGGACCGTGGTATATGGATACTTGAGGAATTTCGGAATACCTTTCTAACGGGAGTTGAAGTAACGTGACAAGATTGCATAGCGGAAAAACTGTAGCCATTAACTGATACCTCGTGATTATCGGAGTGGTTGATAAGCGAAATAACATTCTAGGAAGTAAAAGAGACAATGCGTGCCGGGAGATGAATATATATGTATATATGCGCCACTTTGACTTATTCTTTTTCGAATTAGGAAAAAAAATTCCTTTTCACAGAAATGATATGACGAAATTAGTTCCGCATCCTGCCGGGGAAGTAAAACATAATTTTTGTTTTCCTCTTAATCCTTATCCGTTACCAAGAATATTGCGAATTGACATCTATATATAGCTGTCGAATAACTCCGGATGTTAACGGCTGGATCTCAGAAACATTAAGTCACTACCACCACCGCAATCGAACACGTCATATTTTGTGGAAAGCACCTGTCACCAATGTTTTCTTTAGAAATTTCTCATGTTTCATCATGGAATAACAAACTCGTTAAAATATCTCGAAATAGTCGTCTTTATATATTTTTTGTTAAATTTACCGAAAATTAGGAAAATTCTCAATGCATAAGGCATACGGGTCGTTTCAGTCTGTTCTGATAATAAGCGGTATAAGAAAAAATTAGTATAGGCCGTTTTATCGTGTTATTTGACCTAGACTCATATACTCAATGTTAAAAGGTGTCCATTCATACGTTCACGGTAGGCGACTGTGCACGCAATAACAGATTCGACGTAAAGATTAGGAAAATAATAATCAGGACGTCGGGACTCGGAGAGGACAGAAGGAGCAAGAAAGATAGGGTATACGAATAAAGAGGATAAATGGGAAGAGAGAGAAGATGTACCGCCCACGTAACACCATTGCAGCGATGACCTAACATCCTGTATCAAATCAGCCTTGCGGTCAGTATAGATGTTGTATATTGATCTATGTGTGTACGAGCTATGGGAATTCTACGAGTCGCATCTGGATATCTCGTACGAGTTATCAGAGGCCAATGTACTGACTCACTGAGCAACCGAGTGATTTACCGACTTCCACCATGAAAGGACCTGTAGCGATTTTCTGCGAAACCCGATCTTGCATTAAGACGCCGTTTCCTACTCTTTAGCACGATTCTATTTCCATAGGGCAAACGATACGAGAGCCAAGGAAATTCTAACTTGGGATTAATGGGCACCGTTGCTCGTAAAGGTTCTACGAGTTGGCCTAAATATACGCCCACGAGTTCCTCTTGCACTGTGAGTTACGTGAAGCATCTCTGCGAGAAACCCCTATAACGATATTTGGTTAATAACCTAACATTTTTCATTCAACGTTTGTAAAATGATATCAGCAACGTTTTTGCCTTATTTTACATTCACTCGATGAGAACTAAGAACAAATTGTAATTGGCTTGTGAAATTCTTCTTGTTCGGCGATGACAGGTATGTACGATTTCATATAGGTAAGAGGAAACGTCAGTCGCCTAAGAGTCACCAGCATAGCAATGAATCAAACCAGTGAATTACCTCATTCGCTTATTCAGAACGTTCGACTCTTAAACTAAAAAAAGATGACGCACTCTTATTTTCTTGGTACAGCTATCGATAGGCAACACAAAAGATCGTAATGGAGAACATATTGTTGAAACGAAAAAATGAAATTTACGTAAAAATTGATCGAATAAACAACACTTGTATCACTAGTAAAATCAATTACCATCCGTAACTCCTGTAATCTCGATATTCCGTGATAGAGAATCCAAACATAGAACCCTCTTCCTCTCTGTAAGTAGTGTAATGTTTTGTCTCGATATTGACAGCTTCCGTTACATGTTGATAATTCCAAGCATTTAGGGCCAGAAGACCCATTAACATATGTAAAATCCACATTGTCAAACTTTTAAGCGCGGCACACTTTACACCGACTTGTAGTCAATCAAATTCTTCGTGCGAGTTATCGATCGTTGCGATTTATTCGTTGCATTCGTTTTCATTTAATTGACACTTTCCGTTCTAACTTATCCTTTTATTTATTTATGTTGCTTTTTCAACGACGGGGTTGCTCCCCACAATCCACGCGTGTTACGAATCAAATGGAAGTCATGGGTTCGTCTTGACGAACTCGACTTGACGGACGGCCGCGGACAGACTGAGTAGAACTCCGTTCTTTCAGATACTCGTAGCTCCCACCCACCGCTGGTTCAAAGTTAGACGAGCTATTGCGCGCCATCCTCCTCGGTTAGTGACGACATTTGGGCATTCTGTTGGTACCTCAGAATTCGTTGTGAAAATAAGAATCGGTTCACTAATAATATTATTGGAATTTTCTTCTGAGATCTAATGAATTAATATCATAGATATATATGATGAATTTGTTCTATTAGAATTTTTTAATAAATTAGGCAGTATTGGATTTTTTTAGATTTTAGGAAGATTTTTTTGAAAGGTTTTTTTTAAATATTGTTTATCCTCGTTGTACAGTGTAATGGATTGCATAGGGACACCGAGGAGATAGTCGTAAAGAGGGTTAGCCCCCGTGTACTATGCGTCTGAAGCGAACTATATGGCATTTCAGCCCCCCCTCCAGAACTTCTATACTGGTTCCAGCATATTTCCCGTGTCCTGCTGTGTCCACTAGCCGTCAGGCACAAAGTCCCATAAGGCTGGCTCTCTTTACCTGTTTCTCCTGAATAACAGGGGTAGTTTGACACGAGGTTAACATGTGTTTCGCATGGCCTATGGAGGTACTTAGAAATTTTGAAATTTCCTGCCCGTATGACGTGCAGAAGCTCGACCTTTTTCTTTTGTGATTTATGATGTAGGCTTTTGGTTCGTTATTACCTGTGACTTTGTTAAGACATTGTTCTTCGAGGTCTAAGTTTGTTTGACACTCACTTATTTCGTATGCATTTGTATTGTGTTTAAGTTTGCTGATTTTTCATCGTAAGAAGTATCTTTACAGCGATGACGTATCGTATGTCGAGATTCAAATTTTATCGTCTAACTAGATTCTAGAAATGTTTGTGGTTATTTATTTTTGGCTGCCATTGGTGCACCTGATGTTTCTGAAAGATATCTTTTCACTGCCGCGAATAACCAATAACAGGTTACTAAAGCATATATGCTATTGGTTCTCAGAAAAAAGGACCAGCTGTCCAACAGCAAATCAACGTGCTGGATCCAACCAATTGATGCTGGTGCTTTCAAATAGTGTTTATTAATTGATTTAAAATTAACTTCAGTCTGGTTAGTGCTTATAATTCAACCAACGAAAGAATAGTCTTTTCATCATTGGTGGGGAAGGTAAATCGTGTGTAATCATGTGTTATTGAAAGCAGCTTTCGCAAGATTGGGTGTACTCCGAAATTTACTGACAGTACTGTAAAAGTAATTACACCTCTCTTAGATGCGTATGGACGAATAAGGACACAGCGTTGGTTACAGTACTGGCAGTACATTTCGGAACACACCCTAAGATATACACGTGTTTCTGAAAATAGTAGATATATCTTGTATGTGTAACCGGTAAATAATTATTGTCATTCTGATATCTTTACATAATTTGGGCAATATGACAAGTACAGATTCTTCTCATGTTTCCATTATTTCTGATAAATCTTTGCAGTTGTGTGATGTATCAACTGAAACGCAAAATAATGCGGCATCTGATACTGATAATATTGTCAGTGACATTGAAGACTCCAAACAGTTAAATGACTTAAACAAATATTCATTAAAAGCAAATGTTAGTGATAATACAGTCACAATTATAGCAGAAACAAAAATTTCTATTGTTGAACATATGGCTATAGATGAAGCAAAGGAAGTTGAACAGGTAAGCCACGCTTAATACTAAAGTATTATTTATCAATTGTATATTTTAAATGTACTGTTGTAATACTTTTCTCCAGCCAGGTCAAGAAGGAAATTGTGAAGTGTCAGAGTTAGTAAAAGACAATGAAACTGAAGAGTCTGCAACGTTTTGTTATAACTGGTCTATTTCTCCTAAACTCTTAACCTCTGCCACTGAAGAGTACCAACCTACGATATCATGTGAAAATTTTACAAAAGGTTGTCAGTGGTCACCTGATGGAACTTGTTTATTAGTACCGGCAGAAGATTTTAGAATACGAATTTATGAACTTCCTGGAGAATTGTATTCTGGCAGGATACCACTGGACTTACCATTAGTAGATTTAAAACCTGCATTATCTGTAAAGGAAGGAGGATTAATTTATGATAGCAGCTGGTATCCATTTATGAATTCTTGGGATCCCATGACTTGCTGCTTCATTAGTACAAGTCAAGAGACTCCAGTTCACTTATGGGATGCATTTACTGGGGAGTTGAGAGCTACTTACAGAGCTTACAATCAGTAAGTTGATAATACTTTTATACTTTATTAAATAATATTTCAACTTTAAATTATAATTTAGGGTAGATGAAGTCGAAGCTGCTATAAGTGTTCAGTTTGTCGATTCAGGAAGAAAAGTCTGGTGTGGCTTCAAAGGTGCGTTACGAACATTTGACACTGATAGACCAGGTCGGCAGATTGATACTATTTACCTTAAAAAAGATTTCCCAAATACATTTGGATTAGTGTCTTGCATACGTGAAAATCCAATTATGCCAGGTTTAGTTGCATTTGGAACTTACTCAAAACACGTGGGTATGTCTTATTTTATTTTTAATTACTGTAACGTAAAGTTCTATTTACGTCATACAACTGTATCTTTTTAGGTCTATACAAAGATGGTCCACTCTGCACATTCAAAACGAGCAATGGAGTTACTCAAATTGAATTTAGTCCTTGTGGAACTAAGTTATATTCAGTAGTAAGACGCAGTAATGAGTTTCTTTGTTGGGATTTACGGAATCCTGGAATAGTTTTGTATTCCCTAAAAGATCGTCAATCAGATACTAATCAAAAGATACAAATATCTATATCGACGGACGGTAGTCAAATAGTTTCTGGTATGTTTTTTCTTTCATTGTTTTCTAGATTTTTATTTTATTTAAATGATATAAAATACTTTTATAAATACAGGTGGCACTGATGGTTGTGTAACAATTTGGAAATATTCTGAAAATCTCACCCACGAAGAAGACTTAAAGCCAGCGCATCGAATACAAGTATCAAAAGATTGCATTAACGGTGTAAGTTTGCACAAAAAATTACCAATAGTGGCAACTAGTTCTGGTCAGAGAATATGTGATGCCGAATTGCAAATTAGGGATAACAGTGTCCGTATTTGGTGGTGTTCATGATACGATGATACAAGAATTCATAGAAAATACATTGCACTATTTAAACATCATAATTTATCTTCGTTTTAGAAGATACCAAGTATATTAAAGAAAAGATGGTGCATTACTAAGAATTTTAAAATGAACCGTCTTTATTGTATAAATAAGTTGAAAATATAAAATTGTACGAAGTCAAGAACTTGAGTAAGTATGTTCAGTTAAATTTTTACTTCTTCTGTTTTGCTGATGCTGAAAATTGAAATAGTGTTAAAATTAGATATAAATAATTTAGTGTTTATTAATTCTACTATTTCAACTAAATAATACTTACAACGCGTTACTGGCGAGTCCCAGGAGATGAGATCTGCGCTTTCTGTGTTACTTGTACTTACTTGATCTTCCGATCCCATTGGTAACAAACTGATCTTCCTAGATCGTCGTGGTGTTTGCCGTCGAACGTTAGGTGTTTTTGGCAATGTAGGTTTACTATCCGCGCATACCATACATTCTTCTCCTTAATAAAAATTATTTTCATGAATTCAAATAGTAACAATGTGTGATTTATTTGCTGGAGAAAAAACAGAAGTTTGAAATATTTATTTACCAGTAAATCGAATACTCTTTCGCGTCGAACGTCTTGTTTTCTCGCATACATCAAGATTCTCATTAGTTTTTAACAAAATGGACTTGGCTCTCCCATCTATGGTTTCTTCTGTTTCATCGTCCTGCGAATTCAACTTCTGTGTTCGTGTATTCTTCATGGAACTTTTTCGTCTTGACTTTGTAGGACTCGTATTTTCCTTCTGTCCGCTATCCTCTAATTTATCATGCGCTTCTGTGTGTTGAGATAAAATCACCTGCTTTCTCTGAATAACAAAAAAAAATACAATGGAATCAAGAAATATATAATTAATTTGTCTAACTTTTTATAAATCATCATATTTGTTATTTACCGATATATGTTTTCTTGTAGGTGTGTCACCTGCTTTAATGGTTCTGTTTCTTAGCGTTCGTAGTACTTCTGGTTTCTCATTGATAAAGTCATCTGGTAAATCTATAGCATCCTGACGTTTTAATACCTTATTTTTTAATTTAGAATTTGTTTTACTTGTCAATTCTACCATCTTAGGAATGTCTGCAATACAATCATCTTCAATATCATTGTTTACTTTTGTATCTTGCACTTCAATATTTCGATTAGTTTTCGGCTGATCAATTTCTTCAAAACTATCGTCTGTAAAATCAAGCTTCTTTTCTGCTCGTACTTCGTAATAATTCTCGCAACCAAAATTTGCTCCTTGTGAAGATAAAACTATTGAAGTGTTAGGAGAATCAGCAACTGGCTTGTGGAAATTGTCAAAGTCCAAAGAATCTATCATAGATAATCTAGCTGCTAAATCTAATTTACGTTGCGCCTCCTCGTCGACTGGTATCTCGTTACATATTATGGTATCATTAAAATTGACTTTATAAGTTGATTTATCACGTGAAAGTTCATCTTTTAACACGGCCGATCTTTTCAATATACTTCGACCTGGTGTCTGATCTGAGTTTACATATGTTATTGAATGATCTAACTGAACATCAGGAGTTTTACACATTTGACTCACTTTCATAATTGTTAATGGACTTTTATATTTCTTTTCTGTCGACAATTGTACCTTTTGTAACATGCTCATGCGTTTAAAATCTGTAGAGGGAGTTGATACATTATGCTCAACCATTTTTTTTAAAGCTGGTTTCAAAACATTGATTTCCCTGTTATCATTCGCTTTTAGGGGTGATAGTTTTGGAAATGTCGGATCTAATCTTTTTTTATCTACAATTATTATGTCACTGTCTTCCTGAGCAGCAACTTTTTGTTTCCTTGCAGCTGCTATCATTTCTCGTATTGAACTCTGTTTTGATATTGGAGCAGTAACTTTTCTTTTAACAGGTCCCTTTTTCCTTACAACTTTTCGAACAGGTTCAGGTTCATCTTCCACCCATCCTTTGGCTCTGAGTTCCTCTAGTTTGGCAAATCGACTCTCACAATCCTTTACTTCCATATACATCATGTCCCAGAAGCCTTGTAAGTCCTTGCAAGTGACTAACATTTCACCTTTTCCGGTTTCACAATCTTGAACGAGATTGAGGAACCGCTGGAACTTTTTGTTCATTAACAAATTTGTTTGACCAATGGCTTGCATTATTTGATAACTTGCATCTTCTGGCACATTGATTTTTATATCGGACCACTTTTGACAAAGTTCAGTTAATCTTGTTGCTTCACGGTCCAAAATAAACTTGAAGTACTGAGCAGTACGCTCCTCTTCTTCTATTGATATATTTAGATTTTGCATCACTGTTTCCTTTGTAGGAATTTCTGATGGCGAATTCCCCATTCCTCGTCGGATTTGTTGTTCCTTTCTTGCGTTATTTTTCCCACGACTGCTGACAATGTAAGGTGAGAAAAATGCTGGTGACATTGCATGATTATCCTTAATATTATTTATGACATCGTTAGTGGGCGTATTTCTTTTACATGGACTTGTTCTTTTTTCTGGACAGTCCAATGTTTCCAGTTGTTCTGGAGATAATCTCAATGTAATAGATTCAATGGAACTAGTAGACGACGTATATCTTAGATCGCTACCACTTTTATATGGTGTTTTCATAATAGACAATTTTGTGTTCATGTCCGCCATTGATAACATCTCGTTTGCGAGTACTTCATTGGAAGGTTCTGGGAACTTTCCTATTGATTTGTTATCATTTAAGGCAGCTTGCCCAAATAAAACTTCAGAGTCCATTGTGGATTTCTGCGATATTTTATCACTTGAACTTCCATGAATATGTATTCGCCAAGGTGATATTTTGATCGGCTCTCCCTTTTCCTTATTTAGAGCAGCTCGACCAAATAAAGGTACATTTGTCAAGCCTACAGGACCTTTAAATGTATAGTTTTCTGGTGCAAACGACATCATCTTCTTCTTTCTTTGTATTACCTTTCCTTTTGGTTGGATTTGGTTTGGCTGAACAGCTAACTTTCTAGCTAATCTCTTTTCAGTAGCTCTGGTTATTCTTTGTGTTGGTGCTGACGATGATGGTTTTACTGCCTCAGGATGGTGTTCTGTCTGTGGTATACTCTTTGAATCTTGTATAGGTGAATAAAGCTTATGATGTACAATTCCAACTTTAAACACAGGCTTTTTCTTAACTTCGTTTAATTTCTTCAATTTTTCACGTTCCTTTTGCCATTTTAAAAGTTTTACCAGGCGGCTCTCCTTCTGTGAATTGCTGTTTTCCTCATCTAATACCCGTGAAATAAAACAATCTAACTGATACATATGAATTATGTTATATATATAAATTAATATAATAAAAACAATACAATAAATGTAGTTCAAAAATGATTCTGACATATCATTTGTTCCTTTAGCAAAGCTGTAAGTTCTACAAAATTTAATTCAAAAGATCAATGTTTCAAAGAAAAGAGCAGTGAAAACATTATTTAGAATTGCAAAATAAATTTTTATCAGACTTCTTTTTCTGGGAAGCACAACTAAAAACTGCCGAGTATTGGTGCAACGAACTAAAATTCGACTTAGTGGATCTCTTAAGAGCCCACTTTTTTTCGTCTTTCAATATAAGATATTCGGAGTATTTGAACAGTTACAATTAGGCTTAACATATGACTACTGTGGGAGTCACCGGTGACCGGTGACCGATCCCTATAAATTATGTTGTAAGAAATTTATAGCGACAGCTAACGTGTTAATAGAACTATCAAAATACAAAAATTATTGTTTGAAGCCTTAAAAACTGGTTAAATTATTTACAACCTTTTTAAAGCATAATATTGTATACAAACATAAAAGTATTCTATACGAAAACCCACCATTTTTCTAAAAAATCAAACAATTTTTATGGGGATCCGATTAATTTTTTATTAAAAATCACCTCGTCAATCCTACTATGATTTACGTCTGACTCTATATTATAAATATGTGATAAGAGTTGCAAAATAAAATTTGGCCCTCATAAAAGGAGCACAATTTAAAATCTCTTACCCTTCTGTAAATCCCTATTCTGAGCGAATTTTTGAGCTCGCGTTAACCTTCTGGCATCCTGCACTTTTATCGCTCGTAAAATACGAGCATCCCCAGTATTCCCAAAGCCAATACCCTTCTTTTTATATTGCTGTTGGAAGTCGTTCATCTTTCTAACGAAATTCTAACAAAACCAAGTATTTAAATATTACTGCTGTTACAACGGCGAAGCACAACAGTTCAACTGAAAATTGTTTGAATGTGACCTTAAGGGAGCGTTAGTATCGCCACTCGCGATTGGTTGGATCGCAACGTGTATCAGAATAGATTGTGCTTTTACCAGAGATGAGCAAGGACATTGAGTAGGGAGACTGCCATCGGGCTGATTTTCTTGAAACTAATTTTATTTCGGTGTCGACGTGCCACCTGACGAGTAGTCGATTCTGCATTACTGACGTATATACATTTCTCCAATAAATTGTTTTCAATATGTCCGTGGTTCCAATGTGGCCTGATTAATTAAAAAAAAATACATTGGCTCATTGGCTATTTCTCTACTCAACTCTGCATCAACAGAATGAATGAAACCATAACCAATTGTAACACTAGTGACTGGCACGTCTCCTCATTGGAGGAGTCAGCCATAAGGAAAGGAAGGCAGGAACGAATTGTAATAGGCGAGGGATATAGATGGCAGTAGAAAGCAGCGTAAGCTAGAGTCCCTCTAGTAAGAGTCCGGCCAACGGTGGGGCTTGTTAGTGATTGGCTCCGCCATATTATGGGCTCTTTCCGGAATAGAATGGGTGTGTGAATACGTATATGGGAGAGATTCGCATTGTGTAGTGTGGGTAGTGTTAAGCCCTGTACGGCGGGTTGCCTGTACCTGGCGCGAGACTCGACCGAGTCTCTTGATGGTAAAGATTGATAGTTTGAAAATCCGCGCGCAATGTCATGGTGGCGCCAAACCCATATTAAGGGCTTGCCCTTAATATGGCGTCCCTTCCGGGTGTTGGCCGGACTCTTACCAGAGGGACTCTAGCGTAAGCTAACTGGAGCAAATGAATTTGAAGTCATGAAAATCTTGTATTGCGTCTACTTAATATGCATTTACAGAAATCAAAAGTCAAATTTACGTAATATAAGGTACATGAATTATTGATGAATTAAATAAAACACACCTTTTGCAGTTACAAACTAAAGTCTTATTGTTTATTAAAATCTAACTTTACACAGACAGTTATTCTCGTCACGAATACAAAAGAAAGATTACAATTTATTTTTCATGTCTTCCCACTGTTCTTGTGAATACAAAAGTATGAGGAAATAAAATGGCGATGCAATAAGTGTAACACACGATATCTGTGTTTGGTGAAATGTACATGAACTATGAATGTGTACAAATGTGTACAAGTCCATCCGTGTGGTGCGTTTCCTTGACGTACTGATAGTTTCCTTTAGTAAGGACGTTGGCGGTCCCTATCCCTATCTCCACGTCTGTAATAATTATTATATTAATACAGAAAATCAGCGTCCACTGAAAACACAAATTATAGTATTAATAATTTATACTGACCCGCCACCACCTCTCATTGGTCCGCCACGACCACCACCTCGGCCACCTCTATCACCGCCACGGAAACCGCCGCCGCCTCTTCCGCCCCTGTCGCCACCACGTCCGCCTCTATCACTTCTAAAGCCTCCTCCACGTCCACCGCGGTCTCCGCCACCTCCTCGGCTGCCACCGCCGCGACCACCACCTCCACTTCCACCAGCTCCTTCAGGCTTGGAACTCTTGCAGAGGTTGCACTGATCACGCCAAGCGAAATTCGTGTTTCCGCAATCTGGGTTTGGGCACCTACGAGAAAATTTGAAGTCGCGAAGAACTTATGTATATTCTAAACCAAGCATCTCTACGAGATCAAGACACTCTTACCTCCAATCACCACCACGGCCACCTCCGTCACGACGATCATCGCCACTGCCACCGCCACCACCTCCACGATGATCATCCCGATCACCACCACCACCTCGACCACCAAAACCACCGCCGCCGCCGCCGCCGCGTCCACGTCCACCACCGCCGCCTCCGCGACCACCTCCTCCACGACTGCCTTGCCAGTTACTCTTATGCTGTGCAATCTGCACCTTAATTGTATACCCTTTGAACTCCTTGCCGTCAAACCAGTCGATGGCGGATCGCGCGGCGTTCTGATCGTCGTAAGTAACTGTAGCCTCGCCCTTTGGCTTTCCAGTATTCTTATCCTTGTACATCCATATCTTGGGCTTACCAGTGCGCTTGTCGTTCTACAACAATCCATTACAATTTTCATAATTATTAAAAAAAAAAAAAAAATCACTTATATTCATAACGCAACCTCTTGATCGAGACTCACCTTTATAAGACCGATGGCGCCAAAGTGCTGACAAATTTCCTCCTCGGAGATCAATGGGTCCATTCCGGATACAAAAATGGTATCCTCTTGCACAACCATTCCGTCGCCACCGCCTCCATTGCGGTCACCGTAGCCCCCTGTAACACCACCATTATTAATGCTACGTTCCACGAAAATAAAAAAAAAACCCTAACTGGATTGAACAACAGTATATCTACTATCCCTAAATCTACTTCAGATTCTAATCTAACGTTACAAGAACAGGTGCTTTCTTAAGGCATTAGACATGAACGGCCGTTTACAGTCATAATATTAGCTTTTTCAATATGATACGGCTCTGCTAAGAAAGAGAACATGGACTCGATAAAAACACGTGTTACAACGTTAAGAATTGTCATTGCAAGGAAATGTTATTTAACTTCTCCTCTCTTAATGTGCCTTTTATAATACACTGTAAATATCAAAGAATTCTCTGACACATCGATGCTGAATCCTACTACCATACTTTATTATTTTACAATAAATTATCTTCCCCCGCCCTTGTACTCTTAAAATTTACGTCACTTCCCTATGCACATGGTGCAGCGTACAATTCACAGATGGGGCACACTGTTACGTTTCTTTTGCAATACAATTGAACTTGACGTTTATCATTTGCCAGCATTGCCATTCGTATGCACAGAGTATGTATTCCTATGTTTAAATTTCTTCTGGACACGAGAGTCAGCACATGAAAAATTTCGCATGCGTCACAAGCTTATAGATTTAATGTATGCTGCAACGGGCACGATAGACATTTACATTTAACAAATTGGGAACGTTAAAATTATTCGCCCGTTTACACACTCAGCCAAAACGTCTAAGACACTTTTAATTGTATCATTAACTATTGTCATTACGCGAAGTCAAAGTACTTATATGATTGCTTAATAAAGATTTCTCGTAATTGTCCGTAGAATCTTACACGTTAATTATTACTCTGCACTCGGTACACGTTAGTTAGTTATTAACATTAAGAAGTTCGTACATTTGAAATATAATGTTCCTTTCACCATCCTACATCGTGCTTAATGTAAAATGAGCGATACACTCGTATTTCGCATTTTCCTTTTTTTTCCCTTTCTTTTCTTTATCAAATTTATCACGCACTGACCTAATACGCTTAACGTAACACCTAACGATACGTAGATAACACAAGGTTGCAGCTTAACATACAAAAGGGCTGCAACATTATTTTAACCCTTGATCTTTCATGTTTCTTTTCTATCTGCAATTACACGTAGATCATTTGTTTCGCCAGCTGCCTTTCTTTAAAAATTATTGGAGGCTGTGTTTTCATTTATTTTTATTAATGTCAAAACTTATTACGTATCGCAACGAACAGGTGAAAACCATTTTTTTTTCTTCTTAAGTTCCTTCTCAGTAGCCTAGGCTCTTGTCATGATTCATGTTTTTTTTTACCATTCATTGTCAATCACAATACATTCCTCTTGTTTGATAACATAAGAGTACCATGCATATAGAATATTAAGTGTCTTAAGGAATGGCACTCAAAAGTATCACAGTACATAATCTTTATCATTATTATAAACCCATAGCCTATCAAGGGCGTTACATAGACAACAAGGTACCATCGTTCTCGCGCGAATGACACAAATTGAAATTAAATTGCAGCATCGTTGAAAAGTAAAGATAAAGAAAGTAAGTGCAATGCCGCATACAATAAAGACAAAGAAAAAGCAAATAGTTCTTGTATCGGATCCTTGACGTGGCCGACAAATTAGTTTTACAAATAATTTCTGATTGAGGCGCCGTATCATCCTGTTGTTAATTAAGATACACAAAAAAAAAAGAGATAAAATTAAAGAAAAGGTAGTCCCTTGGAAAGCGCCAGAGCAGAGTTAATAAAAAAAAAATGGTACTCGACGACAGTTACACGTCGTCGCTAAAATGTTGCATAGCAGCCCTTTCATATAATACGAGTAACCGAGTATTTAAATCGTAAATATTAGAGTGAATGCGTGAATAGCACCAGACTAGTACAAACAGTCTGGTGCATTTACCTTTGTTAAAACCACCACGGCCACCGCCACTGCTAAAACACAGAAGCAGATATACCAATGAGTCGACTCATGGACAGACTGATCGATCGATCGATGCATGGCGATTCAAATGCAGCTCGCCACCCACTCTCTTCTTGATGCCACCTACTGTCCAAATGTCTGTAGTCACCATATTAACAATAGAACTATATACGTCAGAAGCAACGTGGCGTCAGTCAGTAATAAAAACATTCGGCATGCACAGATTGGAGAATTTAAGTGTATCAAGAGATCAATGAAGACACAGCACAATGAGACGCGAGTAGTTTAGATTCGATATTTCTAAATACTTGAAGCCCTTAGAAAAAAAAGAAAAAAAGAAAAAAGAAATCCCGTTGTTACCGACCAACTCGGGAAAGAGAATGAAGATAATTTCCGAAGCATGAGAAAGTACATTTTCCGAATATTTATTTGATTCGAGCGGAGAGAAACGATTACTTTAAATGCTGAATCGAAGGATACTCTTTTTTGATTCCCCTTTAATTGATTCTACAAAAGTACTTTGGTCTTTCTCTTTGGTACTTTTATCTTTGTGTACTCTGTATAACATGTTTTACAGTCTTGTGACGTATCGCTCGACAGCGTATACATAATCCTAATATCGCTGCGCTTATGGCGTTAAGAAATCGTTTTGATAATCACGGACGTGGAAAGGTATTCATAAATGGTTAGATATATATTGGTAAGATTTCCGATGAATGTCTGCTCGTGTTTTTTTTTTATGTTATACCTAATTAGCGGTAATTTCATAACCAGTGGCCCCGCTAAGGATAATGGCCTTAAGTAGACACAACGGCACCGTGTGCGAACACTTATACAGACGTTCGACAACAGACGGCGCAGATTGCGTGTATTCTCGCAAACGATGCAGAACCAGTAGTATGTAGAACATACGATACAACCATTTTACGTCATTTGTCATATACAACCTGTGTTTACCTTTATACCAGTAATACCTGTGCGTTAAACCTGTAGGCACACTTTAAACATATTAACGCCCAAAGGGCATAAGACCAGTGAATACAACCAAAATAAAAAAAAAGAGAAAAAAATATTAAGAGTCGTTATTGTTCTTCATTACCGTGCTCGACACCACGATCGATTTTTTTTAAACACAATTTACCTTAATTTATTTATCATTGCAGATTTAACGTTTCGAACTTTGGATTTGCTTTCCAGCGCTAGTCCCTTCTCGCTTATATTTATGACTAAAATTATAAGAACTTACTTGTATCCGCCGCCACCGCCACTACTGGAGCGTTCGCCATATCCACCGCGATCGCTACCATATCTACCACCTCCGCCACTGCCACCACCGCCTTGGCCTATATTGAAGAAAATAGAATGTTGTGTATTTGGTTTTTTTTGCTTGCTTTATAACTTTAAAGAATCTTACTGCCTCCGTAGCCTCCACCACCACCACGAGTGTATCCTCCACTGCTGCCACTACTGCTTCCACCGCTGTGGCTATATCCGCCACCGCCGCCACCACCACCAGCACCGTAACTGCTGCCATTACCAGAACTGGCAGTTCCTCCGCCACTTCCACCATAACTACTTTGCCCGTAACCACCCTGGCTTTGGTTCTGACCATAATCCTGGCTACTGCTGGTATTGTAGCTGTTATAACTGCCATAGCTACTGGCACTCGGTGGTGGCTGACTGTACTGATTGTAACCAGCACTTCCTCCTGAAGGTGGAGGATACGATGTATCCTGACCACTTGTTGGTGGAGGTTGGCTATATTGATTATAGCCTTGCTGCTGATAACTTGTATACTCTGTAAAAAAAATGTAAAAGATTTGAAAAGAAAACCTTGAAGATAAAACTATACTGAAAAGAAATTTTATTAGATATTTTATTGCATACCAAAGTATAGATTAATGAAATATCATTACATGATAATAGTAAATCATATATCACTACGTGACAGGAACGAAAAATTTTCAAATGGCCTCCGCAAATTATCGATTATGCCATGTTTGGACGCGACTCACTCCAAAAGATGCGAAAGCAGTAAGTTAAATAATTTGTGTCATTTAAACATAATGAAAGCAAAATACTATACTCCTCAAAGAGGGAAAACGTATTATTTTTTTTTTAAATATACAAGCGTCATACAAAAGGCCATGTTACGTGGCAGAATAGGATCCTCGCGCGGCGTCACGAGAAGGAACGCCTTCCAAAATTATTTAATTTTCGGCGAAAAAAAGAATAACCCAAAACAATATAATAAATACAACTCTTTGTGAAACACTATTGGAAATTAGCAATAGTTTACAAATTACTTACGATTGTCCGTCATCGTGGCACTGCTCTTCGGTACAGACACTTACACCGAAGAGGCGCGTAATGGCGGTAAATTGAACGTCTCGTGTCTCTACAACTGGAAACGTTTTCTTCTAATAAAACGGAAGCGAAAGGTGCGCCTCTAGTAGTAAAATTCCAAACTAGCAAAGTATCACAATTCAACCAATAAGAAAAAAGAATTTTCTAAATCGCCAATCACGATATTTAAAGAAACATCTTCCAATCAAGAAAATACAATCGATTTAATCGAAGTCATTTTTCAGTCGGATTCATTTAAAATATTGACGCGCGGGATTAATAAATTGTCAATAAAACCAGTTAGGGATTTAAAGTTATAATGTTCTGGATTGTATTAAACTATTTCTTATATTTATATCTTTGTATCATGTGTAGTAAGTCTTTCAATAGATGAGAGAAAAAATTAACATGGCAATGATCATTTGTATATGTATGACTTTCATTACTTTTTTTTCCACATTATTCAAAATGTTTTATTTACATGCTAACGCGAAGAATGCGATGCGTTCGTCCATGTTTTACTTATTCACCATTAGCAGCAAATATTGCGATTTGTTTTTTATATTTGTTTCATGTCCAGTCTATATTACACGCAGATATATTACAATCTTATTATCTAAGCATTGTCCACTTAGCCGTTCGCTGCTGTAATGGAGCAACGTGTGTGGTACTTTACGTATGGATTCTTTCTAAGCCAATACGTGTAGTAGCGTGTTTCGTAAATACTGTATTCGCATTGAACAAAGAACCGTCGGATTCGGATAAAGACATTAAAAACAAAAAGGAACGTGTATCAATTACAATCGAAACTGTTACTCCTATGTGCTATCTAATCAGAACGTAACTTCACAAACTAAACTATACGTACACGTAACAATCTTTGTTCTTGCACCGCAAGGATTCACATAAAACCAGTTACAAAGAGAGCGTAAACATATAAATATATTTCGGCTGAGAAGATTTAATTGTACCCTCTTTTCTGGACTAGGTCAGAATTTCTCGTGGCATTCTCGAATTTCAATTATATCGATGAAATTTTACATTGGACAATGGATGATAATCTTCTTAGGAACGATATTCATGCTCTACGCATTACGAAGCACGTTCATGGACGCTGTTGGAAGTTTGAGCCGTAACATTCCCCCCTCCGTATTTTCACTTTTTCCTCGTCAACAAGCAGGATCGCACAAAATTTTTGGCAAAATGTTTTCTTCGTACCGAACGACAGCACATTAGCTACCGATTCCTCATCATTCAATGTTTTTTTTTTAAGTGATTGAGGAATCAGTAATAAATAATAAAAAAAAGAAGTTTTTATTCATGCGATCCTACTAATAATATAATGCTATTGTTTGTAGTTTTACATCGACCGATTTTTAGGCAGTTTTCTTGTATGGCCTAAAAACATAACCCTTTATTTCAGGTATTGTGATCGAGTGTCTGTTAAAAAGAAAAGCGATAAACTCGGAGATCACGCATTGGAATGCTGGGAGGGTGTGAGTCCTCCGGGATGTTCAGGACTATGCTTTTGTTTTTTTCTCTTCTTTTCTTTCTTTCGCTTCTTCCTGGCCTCCTTCTCTTCGTCATGTCTTTTTTGTTTTTTATGTTTCTTTTCATGCGTATCAGGTCCACCGATATCTGTAGTTGCAGTCTCTTGACCACCAGGTACTTCACCAGGCTTGTGTTTATGTTTTTTGTGTTTATTTTTGTGCTTTCTCTGCGGTGCTTGATTTACATATCTATACTGTTCAGGAAGCTGCAAAAAAAAATTCAAATTATACATCTATTGTGAATGTATATATATGTACGTATCAAAGATTTTTTATATGAAACAGAGTACTTACTGGACCAGGATGTAATCGAAATCCAGCCAGCTGTACACTGGTCAGAGGAAGAAGTTCCTTGCCACCAATTGGTGGTTTCTCAATTACAGATCTCAGAGAACTGTAACATAAAATAACAAAAGAAACATAACGAACATATTCTTAGACTATTTCAATAATGAATTATCACATCATTAAAACAATTACCTGTTATCTTGATGACCAGGTGCATCAACAATGCCAGGTAGATTTGGTAGGAAAGAAGAGAGCTGTTCCTTTAATTTCTTGCCACTGAATTTACTGTAGGAATGCTCGAGGCCATAATAGGCCATCAAATTCGTAGCCCCTGTGAGTTCACTTTCCCCTGCAAATAATATTGACAATTACTCGGTGACACACAGACCTACCAATGGGTGCCTCAAGCAGACCTAAACTAATTTTCTAAACATGTTTCATGTACAAAACCTAATAAATAACTTACCAGGGGGCTCCTTCATTAAGTAGAAGGGCCCACTGTGGACGATGGAGGGGTTCTTCCCTAGTGAAATCGTCGCTTTTAGAGTTCCAGTCGAGTCCTGACGTGAAACAACGGGGGAACGGGCACCCCTTGGTGATGACTTTGGTGAATATTGTTCCACTTTGCTACGAAACTGATCACCCATCATCATCCTCCGGCTTTACTTCATCGCACCTTCACCACAATTTCCAAGTTCTGCCACGAATACAAGGCGGTGAACGACGTCCTGGGAGATGTGTAGCGCGTGAGACGCTAAGAGTAAGCCGCTTATCGAGGAACGTGTCTATAAGGCCTTAGTAATCAAATTCTTTCTAACCACTAATGTTTTCCATTATTTGTGTATACAAATCACCGCATGATTCGTTGAGCACGATGACTAGCTTACTGAAAACGAACCTTCACGCCGTTACAAAACAGGAAATACGCAAGAAACATGATGCCCGACGCTGGCCAGGGCCAGGTACGCGTATAACTGTTCATTTATATGGATATATCATTGCCATTACTATACAAAATAATTACACTATTTCCCGTTAATATTATTATCTTCCAAGCTTTATTATCTTTGACGAAAATGCTACGAAGATGATTCACAGAACAGTTGCCTCCTGCCGTGCATCACTATCAGCGAACCGATGTTGAATGTCAACCATATTTTACGGTTTGGTGGTTCTGAGCAGTTCTGAGGGTTCAGATGTGCGTCAAGCGACAGTTGCGCCAACAATAGCGAAGGAGTGGGGACAATCTGCATTTTTTAAAGGATTGTTTTCTAAGCAAACAAATGAAGACTGAAGTACTTATATATTAATTTTTAATAGTAGAAAAGTTTAATTCTCTTTCAATCGTGCTATTGGAAATCAATCTCGTATTTCAATATATTTAAGTTTATGTAGTGCAGTGTATAATACATTCTGCGTGCGCATTTAGTGCAAACCAGTGCAAACGAAAGTGTCCATGATACTTGTAAGACCAAGATGTCAAATCGAGTAATTTTTGCTGTACTAATTGGCATTTGTGTAAGTTTATGCGAAATTAAAGCTTATGCCAATGAAGATGAATACGAAGGTTGTATATTATGAAATTATTTACTTTTTTTATCAGAATTATTGTAAGATAGATTTCATATGCTATATAACATATTGGATTGGATGTTAAGAATTGTATTTGATTTTCAACGTGTACTGTTTAAATAAAAAGATAGCGTATGACTTACTGTACTTTGAATGGTGATAATGATGATATATGACCGTTTTTATGTTTCAGATGGAGATAGGATTAATTTGTTGGATGTAGTTCAAAACTATGCTATAAATTATAAAGAGAATCGCAGAGAAGTAGATGATTTTGAGAATTGGACAGGACGTTGGATGCCTGATAGACCACAGGATCCTGCACCACCACCAAAAGTTATATCTCAGAAAAATGAAACATCTGGAAGTAATAGTGAAACTCATATGTCTCATACAGTTCCAATGGGTTTTAACATTAGCGATTGTGATGATGGAAAGGTGATTATTATATTGAATATTTTAAATACCTAATACATACAATATTTGGAATTACATATGTCTTTTTCAGACTAACTTGACAGTTGATTGGGACAATTCAGAAGTAAATTATACTTGTTATGGACAAAAAATTGTACCTTCCTATCAGATTGAGCCCCTGATATACTGTGAAAAAATTCCAAAAGCATATAAGGTATGGTATACACCTTCAATAATTTGATTGAAAGTGAAATATTTTAATGTATAATATCACAATTAGTTAAAAGACGTTGTTTTTAGGCTGCTCACATATGTATGCATAAAAAAATCAAATACGTTGACGACATACCCTTGTAGTAAGTTAACTTATTTACCAATGTTTCTTTATAATTACATTAACTGTTTATCACAATAAAAATTACTGAATTAATCGGTTATAGTGGTAGTCACAGACCTGTATGGCCAGTGTACGGAGAGTACAAATTTGTGCCACCTCAAAGATGGGTTCATAGCTTGGAGGTAATACTTGCCCTAGACTTGATGTAAATAGTAAATAATCATATCAGTGTTAACAGACATAATTCTTACAGCATGGTGCAGTAGTCATGTTATACCATCCATGCGCCAATCCATATGAAGTAAAAATTCTGAAAACTCTAGTTAAGAATTGTCTTCGAAGATATATAGTTACTCCGTACAATCTGTTGGATGAGGATCGCGTAAGTCAGACGAATGTTGAACCTAATTAATAATAGTAGTATAACTCTAGTTAATAAAATTATAATTTTTCTTCAGCCTCTAGCACTGCTCACGTGGGGATGCCGTCTAACAATGTCCTATGTAAATCCAGCTGTTGTGCGAAAGTTTATAAAGAAGAAAGCTTTGCACGGACCTGAACGTATATCTGCTAATGGTGGTTTCTCTGAAGGTCTTCTGCGAAAATCTGCTATAGTTACGGATCGCAACGACACTATACTGTGTCCAAACGCATAAAGACGATCAATGTAATAATGCACGCAACTTACCCCATTATGAATCTTCATTAACGTACAATACTGCGCTATCCGATTTTGTGTTTGTATGTTTCTATTTTAAATTATTACTTTAATGTTCGCAGCAGAGATGTTCTATTTTCCTACCATTAATGTTCCTAATTTAATTAAAAGAATCTTAAAAATGCAATGTGTGAAAAATACAGTAATAAAGTAATTGTGTATGCTTAAACCGTGACTATTATAAGCATATCATGCCCTCTTTGCCCGCCCAAGTACTCAATAAATTGAACATCTACTGTTGGATAAAAATCATAAATCGTTCGCGTGGAAGATATTTATAAGTTTACTTCCAATTTCAAAATGTACATTTTACAGTAGTATCTTTAAAATGAATTATTTTATCATTAATTAATGTAATGGCTTCACCATGGGACATCGCCGCTCTTTATATTTCCAAGGGTGGAAAGTAGTGTCATTCTCTTATGCTTGACTAATTCAAGCGCTAAATACAAGAGGTGTTACGATTCTTTATTGTCTACGTTGCGCTAAAGCCAGGGTTAATGTCGAATAAGTGTCATGTATTTACAAGAGATTTTTAATGCGGCTTTGCATATTCATTATCGCTCGATCGGACGTAATTTAGCATTCAATTCGTATCGAATAAATCGTATCGAGGGAGATCGACGAATGCGTATATTGTCCATCGAGTTATATTGTAAATTCAAATAAATATGAAAAACCTTAACGAATTGAAGCTAAAGAGGAATATTAGGTCTTAGCAGAGTCTACGGTCCCATGGGAAAGATGTGATCATACCTGGGTGCATTTAATAATAGAAGATATATATATATATATATACATATATGTTATATGTAATATTTAAATATATATATACATATATATATATACATACATGGCTATTGACGTTAATTCAAATTCTACTCCTGGATCGATATCAGTCCAACGGGTATTGATTTGTTGATTAATTTTAATTCGCGTACAGTATAATTTTTATACAGCAAAGAAATACTACAGTTTCTGCACATCGATATAATGTATATTATGAATTGTGAATCTCAAGAAGATTTTGAAATATCCATATAGAACGGTTTATATATCTTTTCTATTTTTTCTTAAGCCTTTTCAAATCTTATTTTGCTTCGTCATTTGACCCGTTCGCCGACGCAGGAGTAGCACAGTAAACGTTATTGGTTTATTGTGAAATCCTTTGCTTTCTTCTCGTATGCAGCTAATTAATTAAACATACACCGATAATAGGCTATTACGTGACACTTGAAAATTTTCTTTTTCTATTTTTTTTTTATTCCGTCTTCCTTGCGCTCGCAACTCTCGCACTGCGTGAAATTTATGCTCCATTTATGTAATTCATAGATTCGTGCTCGCTCGGAAACTTTGCGAATAATGTAAATACACGTTAACAGCAAACTCAAGAAGGAGAGAGGGGAATGTATTCGCTAAAACACGATAATGTAACGAATTCAAAATATCTCTAGATAAAATTTGCATTTTTTTTTTAAATCTGTACTCGGACCATCTATATCTTTTTTTTTCTTTACTTCATAAATTTTCTATTCGTGCGTCTCCCACTTTCGAACTGAATATCCTCTTACACACTGTTATCGTAAAGATCTTGCGATAAAAAAATATCGGGATAACGCGCAATTCAATCTCGGCGTGTCAAAGGTCTTCGCGTTTTGCATATAGATAAACATTATCTACGTGTAGCACCTCCTATAGCGCCTATGAAAATTTTATAAAGGACATTCTAAAAATTCCTGATAATTAATTACTTTCATTAATAATCTTCTGCTAAATTATTTTTCATTACATTCAGTTGTTATCAGACAAACAATCTATCTATCAACCAGTGTGCACAATTGATCTCGGAAATGACAAAATTCATAACGCAGTGCATACGTGTACAAATAGATCGAATTTCTCATAAATTTATATATACAAAATTATGACTTTCATAGACATGAATAAATTGACTAAAAGGGGGGAAAACATTTTTTTCACACAAAATATACGTCACTTCTGACTGTCCGGCGAGATCTACACACGTGGAGGCTATACAAGAGAGGAATTTCTACATGGTGTTTCTGATATGCAGCGAGAGCCGTATGTTAACTGGGCTTCATGAAATTTGAGCAGATAATTAATATATATATTCTGACATATTTTCTTTTATTCTTATTTACACGTGAGCAGAGCCTAGAAGTTCGGCGCAACGAAATACGATAAGAGATTGTCAGGATAATGGCACGCGCAAGAGAGGGCATTCTTGTTACTTCTATCTTCCTTCACTTTCCTATATCTTTTTTTTCCTCTTTACGTGCATATATATAGATATATACACATAATATATATATATCCTTTGTTTATCCCCGCGTATACAGTTTCAGCGAACCAGCACGAATAAAACATTAAAGCAATGATAAGAGACTCGAAAATTAATGGTTTATAATTTATAATATTAACCGATGGTAATAAGTATAATAATAACAACAACAATAACAATAGTGACTCGCATACCATGAAATCGCGATATAAACGAATAAAAACCACGTGCCAAATACGCAATCGTTACGTCGTGTATTAGTAATCATGATATTTTTTTCTTAACTATTTTTGCTTTCTCTCTCTCTCTCTCTCTCTCTTTTTCTAAGTATCCCGATGAACCGAGCCAAACTAACCTTTGACATTATCCTACCATTACCATTTTTTTTTTCGTTCTTGCATTCTTCCCACTGCACCGCTGAAGTATAAGATTAAAGTTATATTGAACATTGCTTTTCCTTCTTTTCGCTATCTTTCTCTCTCACTCTCTCACTCTTGCTTTCCTTTTAATGTCCATTGTACAGCACGAACAAAAAATTTGTCAGAGGCTCCACCGCTTAATTCTTATGTACGTATATGCGGTATTCATCTTTTAAAGTATATTAGCAAATCTTCATTTAATTGTGCCGACTACATTCTTTATTAGCAGACAATAAATAATCTCGTTTTTTTATATAAAACGAACAATAACGGGAGCGTTTAGGATTAATTTGCTATTGTCGGATTAATAAATGTCAAATCGTCTACGATGGTTATCGAGCGAACCAGTGGATGCTGGGTAGGTAAGTAGGTAGAGTGGGTGGGGGGAGGGGGAATGCGCTGGCTGTCGTTACGTAACGTAAAAGAATATAATTGTACAATAATTAATGCACGACCGGAATTTCTTTCTCTCCCCCTCTCTCGCTCTCTCTCTCTCTCTCTCTCTCTCTCTCTCTCTGCAATCACATTCTTTCCTTTACAATCAGCCACACTCGCACTCCTGAAACTCTTGCCTTTGCAAACGGGTGATCTTTGTTAAAATCACCTGCATCTGCCTTTATTGTATTTTCTTATCAGGGACTGTCAATATTATTGAGGTTATGTCTTTTTTTTAAATTTAGCTATTGCTTTTAAGCGCCATATATGGTTATTCGATTTTTGTTTTTAAACGAACAAGTTGCAGTATACAGATTCAATATCGATTGTACAATCTCGATGTTCGATATACTATTGATTTCATCTGTCTTTTTCTCTTGATTTATTTTCAACGTTACTGTTATAATTTCTCTCTCTCTCTCTCTCTCTCTCTCTCACTCTCTCTCTTTCTATCCCCCTCTATGAAATCATACTCTCACACACTCGTCGGTTTTCAATCTTTTTCAATCCTGCATTATTACTCTCATCCAGCCTCGTTATCCGTTATTAAATCGATCGATCTTTTATTTGCAACGATCGCTAGCCCCATCGATCTCCCTATCTAGTGGGTTCCTAGACTAGAAGGTAATAAGAGGCCTAGGAATATTTTTTAATTATTTTCTCTATCCAGAGGAGTTTCTCGTTTGTTTTGTGCTGGTTACACGACGAAAGGGCACATTCACTTGATCACATATCGGCTGCCATAATCATCACTTAAGACTTGAAGACTCGTTGCTCGAGGTGTCCGATGATTAGCAGCATGACTAATCCGAGATACGACGGTTACGAGGAAGGAATGACAAAGAATCGAGGAGATATCGAAGATAGGAGACACGGAAAAAAAAAAGAAAAAAAACAAAGTGGGAACTAGAGAAATAGCCGAGAAAAAGAATGATGACGTCAGTGACATCCTCTAGCTAAGTTCCAAGCCAGTAATGATTGTGGAAGGTTCTTAAGATTATTGCCAACTTTGTACAGTGTATTTTTAAATATCGTTTAAAGATCGAAACGTTAAGGGTTCTCCCCGTTACTTCGGAAAGTGTATACGCGATTTTGTAATTTTTCTTCTTTTTTTTTTCCTTTTTAATATTATCACTCGTCCGACGAGTACACGAGACGTAATACGTATAGGCAGAAAACACCGTCAATTTATTTTTAATAAGTTAATCGTTAGTACAGTATCGTGTTTCATCTCGTTTTTTTTTTCACTCTTTCTTTATTATTTATGAATCTTCACCTATGAAATACCTATGATAAAAAGTATTCATACCCCCCCCGTTATATCTTCATTCGCGTGCTAATTATTTTTTAGCTACCTTTCGTCATTTATCGCTTTTTCTTACGCCTTTCTCTCTCTCTCTCTCTCTCTCTCTCTCTCTCGCTCTCCCTCTCTCCCTCATTTTTTCTCTCATTTTCTCATCCTTTCGTTTAAATTTACTTCTATTAATAATCTCACTTTGTCGCATGAGAAGCCGCGCTGTTCATGCAACCTTTTTTTTTTATGTTATCGCATAAATCATTTCCTATGCCTTATTTCATTCGCTTTTGTTCCTCCCCCCCACTGTTTCCATCGTCTTTACATCTTTTCCCTGTTCTTGCCGTCTCCCGCTTCTTCATTTCGCATCTCTCTCTCTCTCTCTCTTTCGCTCCCCTCGTACCGTCGATACATCTATCTCTCTCACACTCTCGCTTGCTCCCTTTCATTCAATCTCCCTCTAATCTCACTCCTCGTCAACCATCACGAAAAGTTTTTATGATTTATTTTGAAAGTGGAATTGACAATCATAAGGTTATTGAAATAGCCTTTCGTAGTAATAATTGCACCGATGTGACACGACCCATATACATTTTTGACGTCTCAAATTTAAATATACAATTGCATCCGTTATCACACTTTCATTAAATACAGTAGTAGCACTTGGAGCGTGTACGCGACATATCATAGACCAGGAAGATAATACATTTCTTCGTCTGTTTGACGCCCATTTTTTGTATAGATTTTGTGGTTATCTCTTATTATCCTTTTTATTATTAGTTTCTTTTTTTTTAAATATCTTTCTTCCTCTTTTTTCTTTTTATTACTATTATTCCACGCAACTTTGTCGGGTGTCGACGCGCTTAAATAAACCTCTACAAAAATGCAGATGAGTGGCGTTTCAACAATGCCTTATCGATGTATAATATTATATACATCTACGTGTCTAAATGCAATACGTATATTTACGTAATAATAGTGCACACACCTTGATGCAATGTAAAATATATTAAGTAGAACGACGAGACTGAACATTCGGCACGTTAATTGCCCCCACGATATTGGCCTTAGTCATCGTCGAGCCACGATTATCATGTCCTTTTCATTTTAATCCATTAAGGATACCATTTTGAAACACGTGTCATAATCAAAAGAGACAATTAACAATTCGAGGATCCTATGACTATAAGTAGCGGCCGTTCCTCAATAACGAGACCTTCGAAGCAAAGGATTTTATTTCTTTAGAAATCGGAAGACGAATGCACCCTCCGGTAGGAACGGCCCCAATCGGGAAAAAAACGATTTTCGAAACTTTTTTTTTTAAATCCGATCAAAAGAGCAAAGTTGAAGAAAAAATGGGCATATATGCCTTAGAAAGGATTTGATAAATCTGGGTAATATCGGTAGATTAAAGTAATGGATATTTATGATAATCAAATTTTTTTTAATTAATTTGAATCCAAATTAAATTCACAATCTTTACCAACGCTACTGACATAAGTTAAGAAAATAGTTTTTTCATCGATTTGACAGCTCGGGTCCACGATGAAAAATCGCGAATACGACGAGTAAAGGGCTAAACGTTCAGTATCGACGCAAAGAAGGAAAATTTAGGCCAAACTCGTTTTGTGACACACGGATCGAATTGTGCACCGATGTAGAATGATAACATTACTTCGTAGTTCGCTTATCAATTACGATAAGAAATTAAGTGTCGTCTCTCAATTCCTGTTACGAGGATCGCTCTACGTAGTATATACGCTACACGCTAACTAACTAAGATCGGAGATTAAAGCTAAATTCTTCTACGTCTAGCTATGCGCACGGAGCTCAAACAAAGAGAGCTCTGACTAGAATTTCACGAATCCGATGTGTTCTCTTTAATAAGTTCGTGTCGGTGAAAGTGTTTTGTGTAACTTGTGTCGAGTGTAGATATATCTCTATTTTTGAATTATTTTAATAACGCGAGAACACTCGATAAACGCTGACAGATACTCGCTCTGAACTTAGCAGCTTTTTTAATTCTTTTTGAACTTAACCTTTTTTTTTTGTGCCACGACTCGCGGTAACCGTCAACGTGTATCTCTTCCTTTGACTGGTGGTTAATGGACCTCTACTTGAGAATTTTTGAAAATTTTTCTCACTTCCTGTTGTCAATTATCTTTTATGTCATTTTCGTTCTCATACCTATCTGTCCGTTTCATGATGTACGGAAGTTCTTACGGATTCTAACGAATATCGATCAAGTAATTTAGTTTAATCACATTGAAAATGTACAGATCACGAAATCGTCGAGGCGCATGCGCGAATGACGTTCATCACGTGATCCGCGCATGCGCACACTGCACGACGTATATTTCGGTCGTGACGTTAAAGTACATGTTTTATAGATAAAGTGTGTATAACCAGAAGAAATATCGGAATAATGACGCTCGACAAAATGGCTAACGAAAGACTTTCGCTATACGTAGAAGACATCGCGAATATTGGTACGAAGGAGTCATAACCTATACCGCACGGTGAACCAGATGAAATTGAAGTCGTGAACATTTCATATGATTCATATGAATTCTGAGTCAAAAATTAATATGCGTTTAGATAAGACAGACAGTAGATGATAAAACAGCCTGTAATGTTTTATTAATTCCTATTAGACAGCATTTATGTTTCTTAATCGTCTATCTCACAACGTATTCACTGGCTCACCGTCCTGGACTCAATCATTCAAATTCGCGTTCTACGACAGAAATACCTCGAATATACCTAAATTTTAAGAGAATACCGCCAATCGGGTTAAATACCCCATCATTGAACACCAAGAAAGCTAAGTAAAACTGCTCGGCTTATTTCGACTTTGCAGTGAACGCACTTGTGCGCATGCGCACGTGTGACTTTCTTACTTTCTCGACGGAATCGCAATCAAGGCTCATCCGCAATATTGTTAATAACATTGTTTGGCGCGCACTCACGTACGTATAAATTAATATATACATATATATCAATGTGCGATATATATATATATATATAT